TGCCAAGCCCTGGGCCAAGGCTGAGATTTCATAGGCGTGACGCAAGTATGAAAGAAACTCAGTCGTGAAGGGTGATATTTGCCACCCTACAGCCGACCGAGACGGCGATTAAGTCGCATGATCGGCCGGTGTGGGACCCATTCAGCGGCGCCGGACCTTTTGATGCATATGAGAGGTCAAATGCTGGCGGCTCGTTGAGCTGAATGGCAAGTGATGGAATAATTGATGCAATAATTGAGCAGGTGAAGTGCAATTAGAGTCATCAGTCTGGCATGCGCCTCACGAGGTTGACAACCATCAGATCGCCCTACGCTAAGGAGAATTATTTAAACAGGGCGATGTCTCTAGCAAGGGCTCTGGGAATAAAACACTTTCGGAACGCGCAATTCACTTGAATCAAGTCCACAAATAATTAAAAATAACAATACGATAAACAATACGGATAACGATGCCGGGAGAACTCGTGTACCACGACGGCCACTATCACCGGACTTCGGCAGACCGGCCGGAACAACGGCATAACCAGAAACGCCCTCAACATGGATTGTTACAGAAGACTCACGATGCCTGGGGTCGAGTCCTCTATGGCGTTGGTAGCGTCTATTACAAGATTCGAGGACAATGAAGGATGGAAGATGATGACGACGCATATACGAGAGAGGAATGGAATCGATGATCAAAAAGAATGAGTGCAACTCGACCCGCCATCAACAGAACCGCACTCCACTGTTGATGTCCCGTCTATCCATCACCAACGTGATCAAGCTTCGAGTTGTCGTCGTCCGAACCACTATATATGATGATGATAGACAGGTCTCAGCGCTGATCAAGGAGAAATAACAAAGAGACCGTCCAAAAATATCACAGTCAAGCTCATGCCAGAACGCAAGCTGGGTCAGGGATGGATATTATGGGCTCCATAGATGTGCACAAGAGTCTATGCTCTGCTTTGCATCGGTTTCAGAGTACGATGGGTGGAGGAACCAACCAGGAAACAGGAGTGAGAGATACAGTGTCCCTGATAGGAATGACACGCGCCACTGAAAGGATTGACGAACCCTTTGAGACAAAGATACCAACCGGGCCGAGCATACACATCCCGGAAGGGAAATCGAAATCAACGCAACACGAACACACGTAAGCTCTTTGTTCGACCCGATGCACCCAATTCGATTCACCCGCCGCCGCCGTTGTTAGCCAACTTCCGAAAACCATCAGCCAAGAGGACAAGACATAGGCATTTAATATCATAATATTGCAATTCCGTATTCATCATGCCAAGTGAACGCGGTCAAGTCGAAAACAATGAGTCCCACCGCAAGCGACTCGAGACAATTTCCCAAGTGTCATTCAATGTCGTATACAGGCTCAAGGCGAGATGCAGAATCAATGGCGGCTCAGTCCAAACCCAGGTGAGACCCCTGATGTTTTGTCGTAGAACGGATATTCGGTGGAGATTGTCCCCTATTCTGTACAGTGCAATCTCGTGACGCACTAACAAACCATGCCCCAGGTGAGGCCAAGCTTTTGCTAAGGCGAGATAGAGCTACGGTGTGCATTGACTCCAAGCACTATACCACCGCCAACAAGATGAGATCCCTCTGCAGCAATCCCTGATTGGCCACGGACGGCGCCGGGCAAGACCCAAACAAGCTTCAATCTCTGAACTGCGCCTCGCAATTGACAGGGGTTCTTTGTCCCGTGGTTGGTTCATTCGTCAATCCTCAAGAGGATCTGCTTGTTTTCGGGGACCGACCACTTCGCCGTAGCAGGCACAGTGCCGCACTTCCACTACAACACAGCCGCTGCCAACCCCTTGCCAGGACAATTAGCGGCTTGAGCAACTGAGGTTCAGGGGGGAGGGGGCCACTCCAGAAGCCCAGGGATGGTCCCGTAGCTAGACTGCTTTAGTGTCAGTGCTAGCCACCCCATGCATTCCATTTTCCATTTACTTTTCAAATCGCCCCATCCCTCGAATTCCATCTTCCTTCTCTCTTCCTTCATCAAACCTTCGCTAACCTTTAATTCTTCAACGCCGTTTTTTCTTATCGGTTCTCGTTACTTTGAGGCCGAACTTTAACTTTTCCCGACACTCATTTACCAACGCTCTTGCTACTCGATCCGATCGCCTCTCTTCCGGCTCATTCGTCGCGAACAAAAGGAAAAAAGGGGTTTCAGCATTCCATCAACAATTTAGGCGTTGAATAAAATCATCGCCTCATTCTAGTCATTCATTACTCTCTGTTCTTTTTACTTGCCGTTTGATACACAACACAATGAAGTTTTCTGCTGCCATTGTCGCTGCGGCGGCCACGGCTGCCAGCGCCAAGCTGGAGCCCATCACCATGAAGGTATGCGCCAGACGTCATGGTATCGCGATTTGATATTGACAATTCTCAGGGATCCAAGCTCTTCTACTCCAACGGAACCCAGTTCTTCATGAAGGGTGTCGCTTACCAACAGGATACTGCCGCCGCTGGTGCTACCAACAGCAAGGAGACCACTTACATTGATCCCCTCGCCGATGAGGATGCTTGCAAGCGTGATATCCCTCTCCTCAAGCAGCTCGGTACCAACATTATCCGAACCTACGCCATCAACCCCAAGGCCGACCACAAGGCCTGCATGCAGCTGCTCGACGATGCTGGAATCTATGTCATCTCTGATCTTTCTGAGCCCAGCGTCTCGATCAACCGTGATGACCCGAAGTGGGATGTTGAGCTGTATGAGCGTTATATCGGAGTCGTTGATGAGCTTGGACAGTACGACAACGTTGTCGGTTTCTTTGCCGGTAACGAAGTCTCCAACAACGTCTCCAACACAGAGGCTTCTGCTTTCGTCAAGGCCGCCGTCCGTGATACCAAGAAGCACATCAAGAGCAAGTTCTCCCGCTGGCTCGGTGTCGGTTACGCTTCCAACGACGATGTCGATATTCGTGAGCAGATTGCCGACTACTTCAACTGCGGTGACGACGACTCCCGCATCGACTACTGGGGCTACAACATCTACTCTTGGTGCGGCAAGAGCAGCATGGAGGACTCTGGTTACACTGACCAGGCCAAGTTCTTTGAGAACTACTCTGTTCCCGTCTTCTTCGCTGAGTATGGTTGCAACGAGCCCGATGGTGCTGCTGGCCGTATTTTCGATGAGACCACCGCCCTGTACGGTGAGAAGGTCATGACCGAAGTCTTCAGCGGTGGTATCGTCTATATGTACTTCCAGGAGGCCAACGACTACGGCCTCGTCAAGATCAACAAGAACGATGATGCTGTCAAGCTCAAGGACTTTTCTCAGCTCCAGAGCAAGGTCAACGCCGCCAAGCCTTCCGGTGTCGAGGAGGACAGCTACAAGCCCACTGGCAAGGCCGCCACCTGCCCTGAGCAGTCCAAGAACTGGCAGGCTAACAGCGTCCTCCCCCCTGTCCCGGACTCCGACCTCTGCGACTGCATGGTCAAGAGCCGAAGCTGTGTCCCTGCTGATAACCTGAAGGCTAAGGACTTCAACGACATCTTCGGTTACATCTGCGGCCAGGACAAGAAGATCTGCACTGCCATCAACGCCAACGCCACTGCCGGTATCTATGGTGCCTACAGCATGTGCTCCGACGAGGCTAAGCTTGCTTACATCCTCGATGCCTACTACGTCTCTCAGAAATCCGCTGCCGATGCTTGTGACTTCAAGGGCAAGGCCACCACTCAGAAGGCCGAGAGCCAGTCCTCTTGCTCCTCTGCCCTCGCCTCCGCCAGCAAGATCAACGAGGAGGTTGCCACTGCCACCCACGCCGTTGCCTCTGAGTCCACCGGTGGTACCAACAGCAGCAGCTCGGACGACGAGAACTTTGGTCTCCAGGCTGCCTCCATCGCCCGCGTCTTCTCCCTCGGTGACTTTGCCGTCGGCGCCTACGTGGCCGTTGCCGGTATTGTCGGTGCCGGTATGGTCCTTCTGTAAAAACGAGGTTCTTGGATGGGCCGATCTTGGTATGATTAAAGTTTCTTGCGGTGGCTTTTTAGGAACGTGCGCTTTTTACTAGTTGTGTTTTTTCCTTTTTGTGTATCTAGCATCGCCGGTGTTGCATGGCTTGTGATTAGAACGAGATAGATGTCTAATGCCATCTTGCGCGATTGCTATGCCAGTCTGTGAAGTGCTTGGGTGAAAATTATACATTTGTAATGTAATAGAGACTACCTTGATCTTGACTCGATGAGAGAACAACTTGCACATGGAGCGGCTTAGGCCTAGTAAATCTTCTATCTCGATGTCGAGTTTCTCAATGCTTACTGGAACACTGTATCTGCACCGTCAAGGCAGTTTGCTACGGCAAGAGCACATCAAAAGGGGGCCAGAAGCCGAGGGCATTGCATTTCCACCGGCTGTGGCTCATCAATAACGAGACATTGGTCGTGAAACTTGAAGTCAATGGTAAGGAGCCTGATTCGATAAGGAGCCCAAACGACTCGGGTGAGGTTGTCCCTGACTGGGTCGTTCTCCGGCTTCCATCGCCAGTTTAATAGTGTCGCAAGTGTTTTCATGCAATAGAGCCAGGAAAGGTCTATGTGATTGAGTTCTTTGCCCAAGTCTTCGACCTTCAGTGACTTGTACCACGGTATAACACAACAATAGCGAGTAGAGTTGAGATACAATGTTTTCCAATCCTCTCCTCCGTCTTGGAATTCGATACGTATCCCAACGCGAAATGCTTGACTCCAAGAGTCAAAAGGACCTATTCTTGAGAGCTGAAGATAGGAGCGAGGAGGCTCGAGGTTAGGATCAATTGTGATCTCGATGATAACGTTGACAGTTGTCCCATCCTCGAGAGGAGTACCTTGTATTGGAAATGATAGCTCGAAAAGACTGATCTTTGAATCCTTGCTCCACCGAGTATGGAAGAGCTGTACACGCAGGCTACGGTCTTGTTTTCGGCGGTAGTTATGCTTCAGCTTGCGTTGTATTCGGAAACTCCAGATGGCGGGTCCGTCAGTTGGTGGTGCTTTTGTTCTGATCTAGACATCGCTCGGGTCTGTGACCTGCAGGAAATCAATGTAGCAGTCGAAATTCTTGAACACGGTGTTGAATAGTAGTCGCGGAGGGTACATCGCATCTTGCACCAAAGGCACCCCTGGCCCTGTGAGGGAAGCTCCAAGTCGAATGTTTTCTAGCGGCACTTGGCACAATCCAGCACGGCCTTCAAGGAGAGTCGTTCCGTATCCTGCCTTGATGCCTTTGTCGGTTCTTCGAAGTAGTTGCACGATCGGGTAGTCGATTAGATTGCCGTCGTCCAAGGAGTTGTTGTTCTTTCCACCCGTATGAATGATACCAAAATCTCCAACCTTGAGAGGAACAAGCCAGAAGGGGCCAGTCTCTTTCTCCAGAGCAGCGGCGGCTTCTTTGCTGAGCGCGCTGATAACCTCGAACGTCTTCTAACGTTCAGGTTGCGCCGGATCGAGCGACTCTTGAGAATCGAGGAATTCTGGCATCCACCAAGGCTCAAGCGGTTGCCCCTGGTTAAACGACATGTTGCTGGTGAAAATGCTAGACTAGATGTTGTAGAGCAGCTGGGTATGAAGAGACAAAAGTACTTCGAAACCAGGGTGACCTGGAAGTCGCCCCTGCGAGAGCATGATCCTCACATAAGATAAGGTAAGGTAGGTAATAATAAATCTTAGATGATCTCTCCATAAACTCCTCATGAGGATCCATAAAATCCTCAATGGTTCTTCGATTATAACGAACCCATCATAAGCTTTATCACTCTTCTAAATCTGTCCTAAGCCTTATGTTCGAGGAGAACGAGGATCCTAAGGCTTAGGACTAAAGTATGGGGGAGAAATAAAGTAGTCAAAGGTATCCTAACTTTGTACTAAAGTATCCTAAGCTTTATAATAAAACAACCTAAACTTATATATGTTTTCTCATTTGGGATTGCCTGCGGCCTATTAATTACTGTTGGTTGAATGGGCTGTCGACTAATAGTGGTTGACGGCCCCGCCCGGGCATCTTGCAGCAAAGAGTCATTTTCCAGCTAGGGCACACACAATGATACCACTCCTCACTGGCTAGCATGCAAGTTTTTGCCTCTTGCTGCAAAATTTCTTTACCCTCAAACATCCTCCAACTGAAATGCTGGTTTGCAATATTTGGCGTTCTCACCAGGCCTGCGTTGCGCACTTATTGTCGCGAAACCTGGCGTGATGTGAATGTCAAGACGACCGACAACAAAGGAGTTGAATTCTCGCTTGATCTTGAATTGTCAATAGAGGAAGATTGTCGCTCGAGACTGGGTAATGTATTGAGTGATTTCCACTTCCCTAGGTAGAGTGTGAGTGCCCAGAGCGCGTTCTACGGCATATTGGGCCATCAAGTGGAATTTGCAAAGAGAGGAGCTTGATAATAACACAGGTTATCAACTTTCATGTATCCTTTGCATAGTTACAGTTGGTTGGCTGTGTGAAGCGTTGAAGTTCAGTTGTAATGTGGTGGGGGACCAGATAGGGTATATAGTTTGCAGAAAAACAACAGCTGTCGGGAGCGGTTCTGCCGCTCCCATATGGTCTATTGAAACGATACAGGTAATTATTCCAAAGCCTCCTCGTTCAACTCCTGCTAACTCCATCGAAGAGAAGATTAGCATGGCCCCTGCACTAAGGATGGTAAGTCAAGATCTCCTCAGGTGTCTATAACCATATACTAACCAGCTCCATTAGACACGCTCAATCAAAGAGAAGCTACCAATTTTTTTTTTTGATTTTTTTTTGCTTTTAGTTATAGTAGTTCGTTGCTTAATTGTCTGTTGTGATGTGATGAACATCCTTGTGTCGCGTCGTGTTGACTCTGCGCGGGCTTAAGGTTGGCTCTAATTGGCTGGCTAAAAATAGACATCGATCCCCACGCGAGGTCATTTAAGCATAACGTCTCCGTAGATTTGGAACCTGCCTCGAACTTCACGACAATGTGTAGAATCACCATCGCGAATGAAGCTTTGTTTTTATATGATGGTTTATGATGAAATGATTGACTTCTGCATTTAAATCCTAACCATAGCGTCGATTTACTCCCGCAGCTCTTCACCAAAGCCGCATGCAGAAGAGTGACTCGAGAATGCAGCGGAGGGCGCCTTCCTGCTTTGTCTTCTCAGCTCAAGGGCGATAAGGCTTAGCAGCCGTTGAGATCTTATGGTGTTGGCCCCACGGGTCTTTCCTCAAGCATGAAGATGTTTGAAACATCAAAGGAAGAAATAATTAATTTGACCCAATGGTCAAGGAGAAAGGGAGAACCTCAAGGTCAAACCAGGCAGACGCATGCTTTGCTTGAGTTGGCTAAAAGGGTCGTTGTTCCATTACAGGGCAGGTGCCATATTGACAATCACCGCTACAGTATACACAGCCAGACTCTATCTCGAGAATGAAGCAAGCCGTTTGTACACGTCCTTCTAGAACAATAGACGAGTGATGCGGCGCAGCGACGGATTTATGAAGCCATACACGTTCTCCAGATGACAGATCTGAAAGCCAACCATCCCAGTTCTAGAAGTCAAAAAGCAATCTTCTGTCCATTCAAGACAAACCCTTGGTCCCGAAAACATCCTTCCAGTAGATTCACCTGCGCCCTGCCAAATTGATCACTCCTCCAACGCCATCTCTTCAGCTGCCCACGCTAAAAAGCATGCTTACCTCAAAAGCTAAACGAAAACCCATCCAAACTCCGCAGAACAGAACTGACCCATTCGGACACGGAGACGATGCTTACATTTAACGGGGACTAGGACTCGGGACGATAAATGAGTGGCGCAGGGTGCGCCATGCTCCCCAGCTTAATACCTAAAGGAACAGAAAGAAGCCTTGTGGCGGTCTATTAAAAATAGACTAGAAAGCCGTTAGGCAGATTGGCGCCAACAGTTGTTCAACGGAGGATTTTCGCGATAGAGTTGAAACGTACGAGTTGGCGCTTTGAGGGGAATTTTGAGAAAGGATCTGCACCAAAGTACTTCTCTCTTTACTCTTATTTGACAATGATATTAAAAAAGAAATAAACGAAAAATTGACAGGCCTGCAGACAATTGTTTCCCGCTGACAGGTCCCGCCGTCAGCACAGCCCGTAGAACCACTGGTATAAGCAACGCCTTCAGCGCTAGCCCAAGTTGCACCCAGCCACGATGCAGGACTCGGGCATGTTGGTCTTCAATGACAAACTGCATATAAGGGCTGGAAGAGATCCAGAAAGATCTTCCAGCCCTATCACTCATATACACAATTATCATGATCCCTTCAATTCTATTAGCCCTCGCCGGGGTTAGTCTCGCAGCCCTTGAGCCTCGACAGGTGATGCACCAGGCTCGAAACCAACCGTCTTTCATTTCATCGCGAGATCTTTCTGAAGCTGAGAGCGAGCCTTGCAAGTTCATAAGCCAGGCTTATGTGGAGGCGGAACCTGAGCCTGGGAAGCCTGTTATTCTTGCTATTCCTCCCTCTGTTGGTATTGCGTGTCTCAAGTCTGTTCCTCTGGATAAGAAGCGAGATCTCGAGTTGCTTGACTATCTTGAGCCTTTGATTGGGTTCCAGAGTACGCTTGAGATTCTTGCCGATCCGCCGAAAGAGTATTTGTTTCCAGGTGTGGATGTTCTTGGAGGGTTTGATACGATTCGAAGCAAGTTGGAGAAGAACAAGTACAAGACTCAATATGAAGTCATGACAGATTTGCGAAGCCTTGTAAGTTCTTCCAATTCTTTGTGCAACGGTGTACTTACGATAAATAGTTTGCTGCCGCAAATGATGGTCACTTTGACTATCCTCCCGCTCTTCTCAACGCCTTCTACTACGTCCGACGAGGCGTCGAGTTCGAGTCTGTATCTGCCAACGGTCTTCGACTGCCATACATCTTCCATGTCCTCGATACCAGCCGTGGTAACCAAGGTCTTCTCGACTACGCCCCTTCAGCTGTCAAGTCCATCGATGGAACTCCAATCGCTGAGTGGCTCGAGGAGGACGCTTCTTTTGCGACATCAAACAGCCAAGACCCTGATGCTCAGTATAACGGCCTCTTTGCATCGATTCCTCGTGGCGCTGGTGGATCATCTAGCAGCACTCTCTTCACCCAGTTTGAGATTCCCGATACTTATACCATCGAGTTTCACAATGGCAGCAAGCTGGAGATTGTCAACCAATTGGTCATCCCTGCTACTGTTGACCTTTCTGGTATCGAGTCCGGCGAAGATTTCCATTATTATGTCGAAATCACACCCACAAACACCACCACTGAAGAACCGTCTGCCAATGAGCGTCGTTCAACCCAAGAGACTGATGATGATCTTCCCGGGTACCCCAAGCCTCTCGTCAAGCAATCGAGCAACGCTGTCTCTGCATACCTTCTCAACGGCGAGGACTATAAAGACACTGCTGTTCTCTCCATCTTGAGCTTCTTACCTATTGGTATCGACATCAGCAACCCACCCGCCGACTTTAGCATGACCAAGTTCATCCTTGAGGGACAAGCTGTCATTCTTCAGCTCATCAAGGCGGCCAAGGCTACTGGTCGTGACAAGCTCATCATCGACATGTCTGCCAATGGTGGTGGTTCGGTGATTCTCGCCCATTCCATATATCGTCTCTTATTTCCTAAAGGAGAGTTCACTGGCTGGGATCGATATCGCGCCAACCCTGCTCTTGAGGCTGCTTCTGAAGTCGACTATGATAACCTCGTCCAGTCTCTGATCACTAGATCTGAGTATTACCCCGTTGCCCCCGGAAACAAATACCTCGAGACAGGCAAGGAGTTCTATGGTCCTTATACCGTCAAGGGCCAGAACGTCACTGCAGCCTTCCAGACTGACAAGACTGTTCCCTGGGATGAGAGCATTCCTGCTTATATCAATGGCTTCGACCCCGAGAGGAAGCCTTTGGTTGCGGAAACTCCCTGGAAGCCTGAGAACATTATCATTGTAACCGATGGTATCTGCGCCTCGGCCTGTGGTATCCTGACCGGTCTTCTCACCCGTAACCACGGCATTCGCACACTCGCACTTGGTGGTCGTCCTCTCAATCAGGCTATGCAAGCCATGGGTGGCGTCAAGGGAACTCTCCTCAACTTCAACGCCGACATCACCAGCGCGATCGCCAATGTCCGCGCCAACGCAAAGACTGACAAGGAGACAGCCTCTATCCTCAGCGACGCATCGTCCTCTTTCCCCAGCTCGCAGAACCCACCCCTTCTTCCCCTCCCTGCAGGTGGTGTCGGCAAGGTCAACTCGCTGAACGGCTACACTGAGGATAACCTCGAGGGATACCCCGTGCATTTTAGGTATGAGGCTGCCAACTGCCGTCTGTTTTATACGCAGCGCATGTTAGCTTCGCCTGTTGAGTCGTGGAGACGTGCTAGAGGCGTTGCGTGGAACAACGAGCCTTGTGTGTCGGGCTCAACGACGAATAGTGATGGGACAATTGGTGATAAGACTCTCAAGTATGATTCTCGTGTTCGCAGCCGCGCGAGTGGAATCAAGGGGCCTGGAGAGTTGAAGAAGTGATGATTCATTCATGGTAAATGGAGTTTGGATAGATGGTGATATATTAGCATGCGATGGAGTTGTTTGTTTCAATTATAGATCATAATGGCCATACCAATAGCAATATTACTCGATGTTATATTGTGTCTTGTTTAGATTTGATGAGTCTCTGTGGCTTGTATCACAAAGGTTTACGATCCCGATCGATTAAGCACGCCAATGACGTCAGACAACTCCAAGCAGGCACTGGCACGCGACAACCACGAGCTAAGCTCTGTCCTACGTAGACTACTAACATTCTTCTTTCTCTCCTCCTCATTCCTCTTCTTGACCTCATAATAATAATCCTCTCACGACATTCTTTTTGCAAAGACAATATCGTTACTCCGAGGTCGTCATGCCTCTCCTCCCAAGAGTCAACTCGGCCGTGGCCAACAGGTCCCAGACCAAGAAGCAAAAGTTCAAGACGTTTATGCGACAATGGTTTCTGGTCAACTGGCGCGATTTTCTCACCATGGCCGTAGTTGGAGCTGTTGCTTTTGGTGTATGTTTCTCCCCTATGTTTTTGATCGGTGCTAATTTGTTAGATCTATCATTCTCCTGTCATCATCACACGAACATTTCCAGTCACCTTTAATGCGACCTCGGGAGACATTGTCTACCCGCAATGGGCGTATCCTGATCGCGGCTGGATTCTCCCCTCGTGGCTATCAGGCCTGATATCCATCGCTATACCTATCATCACCTATATCGTCGCCCAATTCCGGATTAAATCGGCCTGGGATGCGAGCAACGCCATCATTGGAACGAACTGGTCCGTCATTCTGGCGTCTCTTTTCCAGGTCACTCTCAAACAGCTTGTTGGCGGTTTTAGACCTTACTTTCTCGATGTTTGTATGCCGGATATATCTCTCGCTAAATCGCACAACAAGACTGGCCTGAACGGAGTTGGTTTCTACCAAATCATGTACACCACCGAAATCTGCACACAGCCTGACAAGTCGAGGATCCAAAATGCCATCACATCGTTTCCAAGCGGACACACGACTGCCGCTTTCGCCGGATTCGGATTCCTCTTTCTTTGGCTAAACGCAAAACTCAAGGTCTGGGCAGACCACAAGCCCGCCTTCTGGAAACTCTTCCTCACATTCCTACCTCTCCTCGGAGCAGTCCTAATCGCTGGCTCACTCACCATCGACGCAGCACATAACTGGTACGACATTCTAGGAGGCGGTTTCATCGGCACGATCATGGCATTCGCGTCATATCGATCCACCTATGCTAGTGTCTGGGACTGGCGCTTCAACCACCTCCCGCTTCAAGAGACGGAGGCTTTCCGGTATGGATTCGACGGGGATCTGGACTATGCTGCTCAGACCATATCTATGGCTGCTGGCTGGGGAGGCAAGAAGGTTAGGTTGCCTGAAAGCGAGAGTGCCCCTGCTATTAGCTCTGAGTCTACGCTTCGAAGTGGCGCTGAGGAGATAGAGAACCTGGATGCGAATACTAGAAGGAAGCGAACCAGACCAGTTGGAGATGAGGCTGTCTAGTGAGGAGGCTTGAGTATGCACAAGAATATTCATAGCTGGAGCTTGGAGTATGGCATATATTTGCATATCGGTTGCAATGACAACGAAAAAGCTGGCTAAGACCTGGTTTTTGAACGAAACTGCTGCGTTGCTCGTGAAGAAATGATCATCCAAGTCGCCGAGTGAGAGCTACCCAACGGATGTCACAAACACAATTACCAGTCCCAATGGCCAATTCTCGCAGGGCAATATACAAGCAGCATGTGTGTAAGCTTCCTCCACAGACAAAAAGGAATAATGATTGATCACACCAGGATGCAAAAGGAAATGTCGGTGGAGAGGCTCGAACTCTCGACCTTTGGATAACCCTGACTTCTCGCCAGATCAACCTGATTTCAGATATGAGACCAACGCTCTAACCAACTGAGCCACACCGACGATGGTTAATGTGAAAGCTAGTTTGCAGTAATAGAGCTCAAGAAGCTTGGCTTAACCTAGACAGAAGCCACTCACTTACAACATGATCATGAGCCAGGACAACCTTACTTTCATTGTGTGTGCTGGCATCACAAAGACGCATAACTTAAAGCATAGTATGGCTAAAACCGTGGATTACTTGTTTCAGGTTCTACTTTTCGCGTCCTCGTCGTTCGCTCATGTCTCGCTCCTCGTGCGGCGATGCTGCGCCTCAGTCCACGCACTACACATCCATCTTAGCTAGGCGGCCGCGTTGACTGCGCCTAGAGGCAACAGCAATACACGGTATGGTTGGATGAGATTGCGTAGGCGTAAGAGAATGCGAGATGGACGCAATTGGGATCATCCAGCGAGGAGGGACATATAAGGATGAATGGTGCATCATCGAGTCTTTCAGAACAATACACCCAGCAACCTTCAATTCTTATACATCACTTTCACCCACATCACTATTGCATAACTCGGAGAATCATCATAATGACCTTTTACTCTACATCCAACAAGTCCATTGAGGACGTTGATCCCCTCAAGCAAGCTGGTCAACTTCCCTCCTACTCTATCCAGCCGGACAGCACAGAGTACCAACAACCCCAACCCCAATCTCAAGATCGAGATGTCTCTTCAACGACCAAACCCACAGCTGGCGAGAGGTTCCATAAGATCAGTTCCAAGGCTGGTTCACCATTGAACAAAGCCGCCAACTTGTTTGGTGCCGAGGGATGGTGGCCCTCGACAATGGATAAGGAGTGCAGCAAGGCAGCTCGCATCCTTCACTCTTTTACCAGTAAGCCCAATCTGAATAATGCAACTCCTGAAATGGCTCTTACTGACTCGTACTATTAGACCTCAATTCGTCTACATCCCCCACGGAAAAAGGACCTCTTCACCCAACTGGCCTTACACGCAAGTCAATGGTCAAAATCCCGCCTTCAGTCCTCCAAAGCGCCGCCGGTCTCGCCATATTTAACGTCATCCGTGCTGGTGCAGGTCATAACTCTCTCTCAGGGGGATCCGGCGTAGTCATCGCCCGTCGCCCAGACGGTACATGGTCTCCCCCCTCCTCCTTCATCGTAAGCAGTCTCGGAGCCGGCTTCGTCTTTGGACTCGATGTGTACGACTGCGTCTGTGTTCTAAACACCCCAGAGCAAGTCGCAGCCTTCACAAAGCCTCGCCTGTCATTCGGCGCCGAGGGTTCTGTTGCTTTGGGACCTATTGGAACAGGCGGTAGTGTTGAGGCTGCGCTCAGCAAGACTGCTCGACCTGTGTGGAGCTACATGAAGAGCCGCGGTTTGTGGATGGGTGTTCAAATCGACGGTACTATCGTCGTGACTCGGGGAGATGCCAATGCCACCTTCTACAACGAGCGTGGTATCACGGCAGGGAACATTTTATGCGGCGATGTTGCCTGGCCCATGGCGGGCAAACCACTATTTGAGGTTCTTCAGGCTCTTGAAGGCCGAACTGACTATAACCAAACTGTTGTGCAAGCAGTTGGCCAGGTCCCTCCTCCTGGGGATGGTATCTTGTCTGAGAAGCAGGAGAGATACACTGACGAACCTCAGGCGCAAGAGACTCGAGAGAAAACACAGCCTGAGATTACGCCTAGCGATGTGAAGGAGGATCTGCCTGATTATGAAGTTGTGAAGAAGGACGACGAGGAGAAGATTGTGGACGATGAGAAGGCCAGGCTTGCTGCATCTGGATAGTAGTTTGGGGCTTGCTCTCAGGGCGCTGTTTTATGTTCATTTCAGCATAGACCTTAGTCTTCTTATCCCAAGGTGTTTTAATATAGTTCCCCGGAGTTATGATAGGTTTGTTGTCACTCTAGCCCCTTGTGTATAGTAGAATGGGTGTGGATGAAACTTGTTGAAGGAGGATGATTGCAAGTAGAAAATATCAGCATATTTTCCCAAAATACAATATTGACATACTGATATTAATTGGTGTCTATTAGAGTGTCGGCATCACCGTCTGTAGAGTCTCCTGTTAGTACTATTTATGACCAAGGAGCCCTGGAGACAATGGATATCCTCCAACATAACCAACAATCGCTCAGTGCTTGTAGAATGTCGGTCAAGCGGTAAAGGTTTGATGACAGAGAGCCGCATTGAGAGAAAATGTACCAGCTGGCAGGATTTGATAGGCCTGGTAACAGTGGTCGAGTAGTAAGACTGTGTCGCACAAGCAGGGGTTGGGTGATGTACCAATCCGAGAGCCCAGGTGAACCGGTGGTGTGGTCCAGAAATTAGGCAGAAGGCGAACCAGGCGAACCAGGTGTCCTTGAGAAAGGCCCAAGGATCGGGTGAGTTATATCAGGCCTAGGCAGGCAGGCCAGAAGCAAATGCCGCAAGACAATCTGCAAGTGTTTGCCTTGTGATGCCTTTCCTCAGCCCCGAAGGCGCAAAGCCAACCGTTGATATGTTGCGCGAAAAATTGTCTTCGGCCACTCCTCAGCCACAACCCTATCACTCTTCTGATAGCCTTGACGCGACGTTTCAAAGACTCTACGAGTCCCTTCAGTTTGCTCGCCGGATCAGAGTTTGGAGTCAAAGCCCTCTCAGACAAGGCTCAGCAGTAGCTGGTTTCATCGATGCAAGGTTACAGATCTTGGAGAACAACCTCGATGCCCTACGACATGAACTACACGAAATGGGCTCCAGCATCGCAACTAGCGTTCCGGACCGTATTGGCGGAATCTCGGCCAGTGTAAAAAGAGGTGTAGCCGATCTTGGGGAACTCCTCGACTTCTACGACAGAAATAGAGAACAGGAGCGTCATGATGCCCTTGACGCTCTGTTTGCCTCACAGTCTATTCTGCACATTGATGGAAGAAGGAGCTGCCCACGATCCCTACCGAATCAGCAAGGACTTGTGAAGGTGGCCATAAGTATTGCCGAGACCCTGGGGAACACATCTTTGAATGGGGAACCTCTGGTTCCCCAAATGGAGGCAGTGCGATCGGTCGTGGAGCGTCAGTATGTCACCACTTGTTAGTTGGTAACACAGACTGCTAACAACAACAAGACAGCATTTAGAGAGATGCCTAATCCGATTTACAAAAACACTCGAGTCGAGATACATAAATAACTATAACAACATCGAAGACGTACCTTACAAGCCGAAGGGAATCGAGGACACGGCCCAAGGGAGTTATGGAGTAGTCATCGGAGTAGAGCACAGTGAAACCTCTGAGGAACTTGCGATGAAGACTTTCAAGTGTAATGAACGGAGCAAGATTCTTCAGGAGATTGGTGTTCTCGAAGTTTGCAATCACCCCAACATCGTCAAACTGGTCGAAGCCTTCACTGTTGCCAACAACGGCGTCGTTCGTCTTATATTGAGACCCTGGGCCCCCTACACTCTTGAAAACTTTCTGAATTCAGAAGATGACAAACGCAAAGACCGATGCAGATGGTTCAGCCCAGGCTCATCACAGTCAGACTTGTGCATTTATCGAATCATGAAGAAGCTAGCACAAGCCGTGGCTCATATGAACGGAATGTCGATCAAACACAAGGACATCAAGCCCGACAACATCTTGCTCCACAAACCCAATTCCCCAGATACCCACCCTCTTCTGACCGATGTTGGTGTGAGTAAGGTATACATCCGTGGGGGATCAACTAAATTTAGCGACAGTTCATATAGCTTCCTCGCTCCAGAGCAAGTTAAGCATTTGCAGAGCAATCTCCATGCGGACATATGGCAACTTGGATGCTGCTTTGCTCTGATGCTCGGCGTGGCGAAGAGAGGTAAAGCTGGAACAGAGGAATTGGGGGATAGCTATTGCAGTACAAAGCATGGGCGTTCATGCCAGATTGCTTCAGAACACGAGCACTTCATGACGAGTCTCAACGCCTTGTGTGACGAGAGCCGCTTTGCAGGCGAGGCTTTGAGCAACCGCTTGGCATATAAGCTTGTATCACGCATGTTGGACACGAACCATGAAACAAGGCTGAAGATCCATCAGGTCTTGTCACGCCTTGACCGACTTGTTGCTCAGATGAACACATATGCAATGGGAGATCTAGGAATGAGCTTGTGAGGAACCGGGGGGCAGTAGATGGTTATTATGGCGTTTGGACAACTGGGAGGAGCAGTCTCTATATTTTTACGGGCAGGACTCAGATTGATTAGACATTAGCGGTAATCTTGGAAGGCCAAAAAGACTATAATTCATCATCAATTGGACTAATCTTTACCCTCGTTACAGTTAATGATGATATCGAACAAGCCCAAGCAAGTGTAACATCTGATTGGCCGCTCCGTACCTCACCATCCCCAGATCCCACTGGAATTGCCGTGTGTAGTGGGTACGTACCCAGCACATCCCCCACGTCATCTCAAAGGGAAGCTGACCTCAATGGAACCTCCCTGAAGAGATATCTCAAGCACCCCCCATAATGACAATTGTACCACCACCAACAACAACACCATAAATCAACTTCAACCATCAACGCTCCTTTCTCACTCCGTCCATCGCAGAAATGGCTCCCGCCGCTACAAACTCTTACAGCGAGACTGCTCGTGACAAGGGATCAGGCTTCATCGCCTACGCGCGGAGCTCCGTGGATCGTGTTGTCCCGCCTAATTCTCGACAGAAAGCTTACGACAATACTGCTTCTTTTGCTTCATCGCGACCTATTCTCTTTGTACGTTCCCTCTCACCCCCTATCAAGCATCACTAACAAGACAGTCCTTTATTGTATCACAACTTCTTCTGTCTTTCCTCCCTCTTCTAATCTTCCTCACATTCTCCCTGTCAACCATCGTATTCGCCCTCGGCGCTGCAATCGTGTTTGCTCTTTTCTGGATTGGCGTTGCACTTCTTGTTCTCGTGCCTGCACTGCTCGTCACCTCATCCATCGCCGTCCTCGTCTGGGGCTGGGCCATTGGGAGCTTCATCATTGCACGATGGCTGTACAACCATTCACCTGTCGGAGTGCAGAACAATGAGGTTGTGAAGAAGGAGAACGGCAATTAGTTTTACGCCTACACCGTCTGCCAGCTTGGTATTAGAAACAACAACTGGGACCCTCATGATATGTCTGCATTCTAGGATCCGTGTATGGGTTATGGAGGATATCGGGATGGACAATAAAGCATCGGTTTGGTATGGAGTTTGTTTTGTTTGCCCACTGATCAAGGCCCAATGATAATGGAGGCGGGATACAGGCCGTTCACGAAAATTGCAAAGGCATTACGCTGTCAACATGTAACATTACACTGAACATCAAGTCCTAGGCCATTGCCAACCTAAGCATTAACCCTAGTACAAACGTTCCGCTCAAAGTGGCTGTTAAACCTCTATTTCTCATTAATAACCGAGACCCATCTATCTGTCCCAATCGCTCATGTACAAGTACTTTACAGATACAGACCCTCTGGCTCACCCTCCTGCTTTGTACGGAGTACTCTCTCACGCGCTGATCGGAAGTCCGCCATTTGCACCCGCATTCGTCGTTCTCGGAGAGCGAGCAGACCGGCTTCGGAGCAGATGGCCTTGATGTCGGCACCTGAAAGGTCATCCTTTTGGGAGATGAATTCCTCAAGATCGACATCATCGTTGAGGTTCATCTTTGAAGTGTGAAGTGTGAAAATCTTGCGCTTGGTGTTCTGGTCGGGGTTCTCGAAGAGAATCTTTCGATCGATACGTCCAGGTCGGATCAGAGCGGGATCTAGGGTATCGATCTTGTTTGTGGCCATGATGACCTTGACGTCTCCACGATCGTCGAAACCATCCAGCTGGTTCAGAAGCTCCAGCATAGTTCGCTGGACTTCACGCTCACCACCTGATGTTGAGTCGTATCGCTTCGTACCAATGGCATCGATTTCGTCGATAAAGACGATAGAAGGAGCGTTCTCACCAGCAACCTGACAATGTTAGTAACAATCAAACACACTCAAGAGATCACATACCTGGAAAAGCTGTCGCACAAGTCGAGGACCGTCACCAAGATACTTCTGAATAAGCTCACTACCCACGATACGTAGGAAAGTGGCAGAAGTCTGGTTGGCGACGGCCTTGGCCAGCAATGTCTTTCCCGTACCAGGAGCACCGTAGAGAATGACACCCTTGGGAGGCTTGATACCCATCTCCTCGTACAGCTCCGGATGGAGCAGTGGCAATTCTACTGATTCTCTGACTTCCTGAATTTGTTGCTCCAGACCACCAATATCAGCGTATGACTCGGTAGGAGCTTTGTCGAGCTTCATGACACTGACGATAGGGTCGGCATCATCTGTAAGCACGCCAACAATGCTGACGCTCTTATGGTGCAGAAGAACACTGGCGCCAGGTTCCAGCAAGTCCTTGTCGACGAAGCTCATGATGCTGACGTAGTACTCAGGACCAGTGGTACTGCTGACGATCGCATGATCATCATCGATCAACTCCTCTAGAGTTCCAACACCCATAGGGCTGCCCCGCATGTCATCGACACGGCCACGCTCGTCTGCTAATCGATCAACATCGGCATCGGTGCCAGCGGATTGACCCTCCTTGGCTGCCTTGGCCTTGCGTAGACGTTCCTGGTTCTCGACATACTCCTCCTCGAGCAAGAGATGATCATGGATTCGCTGCATTCGCAAAAGTCGAAGCTTGCATCGGCTGGTAGGGTAGACGGCGGGGAGTTTCTGAGCAGCGCTGGTGCCACCAGCCTTTCTCTTCTTGCGACCAACTCGTGTGGTAGGTCGAGGCGGGGGTTCGTACTTGGGCTTATCCTTCTACTGGGTTGTTAGAATGGGAATGGAGGTTCCGAGCGGGTTTCTTGCCTTCTTGTCCTTCTCATCGCGTCCCCCTTCTCCCATGCCGGATTGACCTTGACCCTAGATAACGTCAATAGCTGTTGAGCTGCAGCGTGATGAAAGTGTTTACCATTTTGTCAGGATCAGCTCTGGGAGCTATAGATTATGTGATATCGTTTGTCTGGCGTGGCAGTGGTTTCAATGAGGTGAGTCGTGATGGTGGATGTGATTTGATGTGGAGGAGAGAGTCGAGGCTCCCGAGCTCAGTGATGATGAAAGCGACCGCCAGGCGCCAGGGAAACACGACAGCAGCTCCAGCCTAGTCACGTGCTACAGCCAGCTGAGTCACGTGAAGCTTCAGCAATGGCTCCGAGCAACAACAAGCAGATATCGGAGTCGAGGGACAAAATGTTATTTGAACTTGTAATAAACTAAAGTTCTACATTATGAACTGAAATTAATCCTTAACGTACCATTTCGTCTGTTTGGGTCGATGCCAACATCCCATAGGCATGTCGCTATCGAAGTTGACGAAAACAATTGGAAGGCTACCACAGTACTCCGTAGGCATGTCTCAATGTCAATGGTTTTATCAAGTAGAATAATTGCTTCATATTACCGTTAAGTTTCGCCACCACCTATCTTGTGTCATTTACCGTGACCTACAAACCATATGAGGTGCAGCTCATGCACCCCGTAACCAGTCTATGCTAAGTTGTTAAAACAAACCGACGCAAACTCCCCATACCATGCTAAAAGAAATTGTGTTTCAGATTGCCATTCCTTCTCTTAGTCCCCCATAGTCCATATTAGTTTTCATGTAGCAGTCTGGAAACAACGTCTCCCATGTAAGCCTCTTCCAGTTCGTAGTCTCGGCCTCCGTTGCGATCTATGCCAAAGTGAATGAAGGCCTCAACAACATCGTCCAATGCGAAGCCCATGTTCACGAAACGTTCGACAAGGTTTCTGTTGTAACCGTTGAGTCTACCCCACGTTAGCAACATTCTTCCCACTCTATGTTTGACGTACCGAGCAACGTCGTCCTTGGCCGGTGCAGCTGCGACGTCGTTTTGGTATTTAGTGACATCAACATCTTGTCGTGGAGCACCAGCGTATTTGACAGCCCATTCATGGGCCACGAGAGCGAACCGCTTAGGGTCTTCTATCATCATTTTTGCAACCTCAGCATCTTGCGGATCCTTGGGGTTTGGGCACTCGAGAAGCATTCGAAGGGAGAGAAGGGTGGTCTTGATGGTTTGGACAGGAGACCAGTTGGTGCTGAGGGTATCGAGACAGATAGCGCCCTAAAAGTCGAGTTAGTATCTGGAGCTCCTTTTCTTATCGTGGCCTGCCTCTTGGCTGTCCCCAACCCATCAAGTTGGCTGTCTTTGGGCTCCACGTCCGCTAGTTTGAAGAGAGTTGACCTACCGTCTGACTGCTAATATTCGGATGCCAGATCTTTGTGTCAAATCTCATCAGTGGTGCCTTGAAAGGATACTGATCGGGGATTTGTATGTCGACTGTGAAGGTGCCTCCAGCATAAGGGGTATCGGGCGGCGCAGGGAATGTTCCTTTGAGGTGCTTCGTTTCGTCACCGACAAGAGTTGCGTTGACGCCTGAGTCGTCATGATCGGCTTTGATGTCCTGGAGCTCCTTGAGTACACGCCGGTCCCGAGACATGATGGTGAAACTCGTGGAAGAAGCGGTGATGGAAGAGTTGAGGATATTGAATAACGAATTGGATTAGAAAAAGGAGAATAGTTGGATCGAGTGAGGAGACAAGAGATAACTTTGGGCCGTAAGATAGGCCTTCTGCAGGTCAGGTCAGGTCAGGTCAGGTCAGGTCGTGTCTTGTGCAGGCAAGGCAGGCTATGCGGTTGGTGATATTGGATGGAGAGGGAGGGGTCCCTGATTTTTGTCAGGCTGTGGCGTAGCTTGAGAGAGGGAGGCCGACGTCACTCCACTGAGAGACCGCTAAGAGTTAGCGTCCTGCGGGGGATGTTGCTCTTGGGTTGCAGTGTCGGGTTCAAAAATAGAATGTCATGGATCAACTGCAAGTTCAATACGCGTTTGTATAAGTGCATCGATGGGAAGAGTAGGCGGCTGAACAGTGCTGCTTTATATGTATTTCATAAAAACTTTATTCCTTCAAAACTTTCCTTGACCAGCTGGTATTAATCCGCCTTTTCTTTTCTGACTGTGGTTCACAGCAAAGGTGTTTTTAACTGCCTCGCTTGAAAGCTTAATCAATTTTGTAAAGCTCTGATTTCATTGAGTTGGGAGGAAGATAGACTTAAGCCCATCATATCATAAGCTTTGCTATCTTCTCTTGTTCTCATATTAACTCTGGTCTCATCAAAAGCTAGCGCTCTCAAGACTGTGAGGCCAACTTTAAGTATTATTATCTTGAAATGGAAGCTTTTTTTTCGGTCAACCCATCAAGGTCCAGGTCTTTTCCTTTACATTTTTAACTTTGAAACTATTTGTTGAGAAATCTCTGTTGCAAGGCAGGGCAAGAAATCTTAGGACCTTCATCCTAAGGAATAAACTTAGGCAATTTTAGTATATTTTAGAGAAGCTTTAGACCAGTTCATACTGGCCCCCTTCTCTAAGCTTCTCTAAACTTCTCGCATAGTCACATGTACGTACTCCGGCACGATCAAATATAGCTTGAAACACTTTTCGACATTAGATGGTTCATGGTGTAATGTGACATTGTTGGCGCATTGCGTGCTGAGGGTTATGGCACACTCGCCTGCGGAAAAGGAACACCAAAAGGCCTTTCCACAATCTAGCCTGCGCACCAGCCAGACCATCCTTGCTCTATCAGGTACGTACGAAGAAATCATGCAATATGATGCAAATAGCCCTCCATGAGCGAGTCCTCGGTCGATGAACCGGACTCTACTAACTCACTCCCCGACTCACACATCTTGTCTCCCAAGGGTGAACCAAATAGTAGACGTATCTTAGTTATAGAATTATAGCAGATCGCGGCGGACGAACTCGTTGTAGAGAGCCTTGCCCAGACCAGCGGGAGAGCGCTCGACAATGACACCAGCGTCCTCAAGAGCCTTGATCTTGGTGTCGGCACCACCCTTACCACCAGAAACGATAGCACCGGCGTGACCCATTCGTCGACCAGGAGGAGCAGAGATACCAGCGATGAAGCTGACAACGGGCTTACCGCCGTTGACAGTGTTGGCCTGCTTGAGGAACTCGGCAGCATCCTCCTCGGCGGAACCACCAATCTCACCAATCATGATGATACCGTCGGTGTCGGGGTCCTCAGTGAAGACCTTGAGGCAGTCGATGAAGTTGGTACCGGAGAAGGGGTCACCGCCAATTCCGACAACGAGAGACTGACCAAGACCGGCCTGGGTGGTCTGGTTGACGGCCTCGTAGGTGAGGGTACCGGAACGAGAGACGATACCGATGCGGCCGCGCTTGTGGATGAAGCCAGGCATGATACCGATCTTGCACTGTTCGGGAGCAATGATACCGGGGCAGTTGGGTCCGACGAGACGAGTCTTGCTTTGGGTCTTGAGCATGTCGGTGATGCGAACCATGTCTAAGTGGGTCCCACGTTAGAAACCTTCCAAATGTTCCATCGACGTTGCAAAAACCTACCGTGCTGGGGGATACCCTCAGTGATGCAGACAACGAGGGGGATCTCGGCCTCGAGGGCCTCCTCGATACCGGCGGCGGCCAGAGGAGGACTGAGAAAACTGTTAGGAGTCGTTTTCGTTGGAGTGTGTGGTTGACGAGACGTACGGGACGAAGAGACCAGTAGCAGTGGCACCAGTCTCCTTGACGGCTTCACCAACGTTCTTGAAGACAGGGAGGCCGAGGTGAGTCTGGCCAGCCTTCTTGGGGTTTGTTCCACCGACGACCTTTGTGCCTGTTTGTCGAGAGTCAGTTTTTGTCACATGTATCATCGTGACATCGATATAGCGAAGACCGTACCGTATTCGATAGCTTGTTGAGCGTGGAAACTACGTCATTCGTTAGTTTTATATACCCTCTCGAATTTCATGAATTGCGCCAACTCACGTTCCCTGCTTTCCGGTGAAGCCCTGGTAGATGACCTTGGTGTCGGCGTTGATGCGCAGGTTGTTGATGGTCTGGGCATACTGCGACGAAGAATAGGCTCGGCGGCCAACATTTTGCAGCGCCGAGGCGCGAGTGGCTCTGGTGAAGGACTGCATGATGTCGGGGGGTGGAGGGGAGAGGGAGTGAAAGAGAGAGAGAGAGAGAAAAACGTCGCTGTCTGGTGCAACGTCTAGAGGATTAACTTGAGGTGTTGGAATTGGAAGGGAAAAACCGTCGATACAGGAGCTTTCGGGAGGTTCGTATCAAGATTATCCCGTGGCCGGGATTCAACGGCCTAAGCCAAAACGGGTCGACACACGCACTTTGCTCACAAGGTCAGTTGGTGCTTGACCTTGCGCTACGGGTGGTCTCGGAGTCAGTATGCCGAGTGAGAGAGAGCGGGAGATAGATGATCCGGTGGGAAAAGTCAAGGAGAGCCACTCACAAGAGCGCGTGGAGAATCTGTCGTGGTGAGCGTTTTGAGATACGGTTAATCGCGGGTTCTCGGTGAGGGCGAGACGACGGGAAGATGCGTCATTGGACATGATGAGGACCTGAGACCCTCTTTTTGCTTCGGACTTGTATCTCCAATGTTTGCATCTCCTTGAGTTTACGTTTAAAAATCGCGGACATTGACAGCCTGATCCCGTGGGAACGCAACATGTTCTTGCATTTACAATTGTTCAAAATGAGTGAATTGTATCTACTTATGATTAAAGAGCGACTACAGTCAGTTGCTATCAAGACCAGTATCCAGATGGACATCGTTCTCCTATTCCTCTGTCACTCCCAGCAATGAGCGGTAACAATGCAACTCCGACGAGGCATCTGAACAAAATCAGTTGATACCTCGGTCCCGGTAAAGATCATCGGCTGGAATAATACATCACCGGACCATCCATTCCCTGTCGCTCATACTCGTCCAATTGAAGAATCTGCATCGCATGACATTTCAGTTCATCGTGTGCATCTCGGAAGGAAGAGCGACATTTCCAATTGAGTCGCCTTAGTAGACGCTCTTGACGCCCCAGCCGACAGCCATCACCCTGGCGGCAAGGAAACAGGCGAGTGCCAGCACATACGACAGCCCATCAAATACAATGAGAGCAGTCCAACCAGTGTCACCCTTGCCGCCAGCCTCTAGAATGGCACCTGCAATGGGCAAGCTGCTGAGGGTTCCAAAGCTAGCTACCATGAAAGCTGTCGAGATGAATCGTCCATAGTCGCGAGGATCGCAGAGCTGACCTACGCAAACTGGCGTGAGTCCCAGGTTACTACCACTTGCAAAACCAAACACAACAGCGAATGCGATGATCATAGCCTTGGAGTCTCCCGCTGGCAACCACAGAGCAAAGGCCGATATTATGCAAAGCCCAAGCGTCAGTAGAATGACATTAAACCGCCCGATCTTGTCGGCTAAAAGACCGGGGAGAAAACGACCGAGCAATGAACCCGCATTGAGGATCGAAATCAGCGTGTAAGAGCTGTTGGCGTCGCCAGAGTGTCTTCCGGCATAAGACACGATGTACGTCAATGGGACAAAGAGTCCCCATTCCATAAAGAAGATCCCGCAAGCAGAGAATGTGAACTTTAGGTCTTTGAAGATGCTCAAGTCTGGCCAGACTGAAGACACCTTGTTTGATCGCGGGAGACGCGAGCGCATGAAGAGCGTGGCGGGAACGGTGAGTCCGAGGATGATGAAGCCCAAGATACGGGTCGTCCATGCAAAGCCAACGCTGGGAAGAAGTTTCTGTAGAAAGATGGGAAAGATGATACCGCCAAGTGATCCTGCAGTCATTGCAACTCCAGTTGCCAGACCTCGTTTCTTGTCGAACCAATGGGCAATAGATGCATAACACGGTGAATTGAGAAGGGCGCCTCCAAGGCCGCCCACGACCGAGTATGAAAGAAGGATCTGGTAGAATTCCTCGCAAACGCTGAGGATAAATAAACTTGTCGCGATGAGTATACCTCCAGAGGCTACAATAAGTCGGGGACCGTATTTGTCAAAAACAGGTCCGACTTGAATACCGACAAGAAAGACGAGGAAGAGATAGAGACTGAAGATCCAGCCAATCTGCGAAGACGAGTAATCACGAAGCTGGTTCTCGGAAAAGTACGACTCAAAAACAGCAGAAGTGTTGATGAGACCGTAGATCGAGAACATTCCACAAAAGGATCCAAAGACTACAAGCCAGGCTTGGAGCCCGCCCTCTGGGAATTCGAGGTTCGCTTCACTGTCGTCGGTGCTGGCTTCGCTGGGGTGCGCTACACCTCCGGTCTCGAGGCCCGCATCGTCCGGGGCCGGGACGGCATCGCCACGGGGGACATCGGGGTTAGTTTTGGGTATGACCTGCTTTTCGTGCTGGTTTTTTAGGCAGCTGTCCTCTGCATTGTGTTGGTTATATGTCATGTGTGTCCAAACACGGTAGATCACAAAAAAGGGTACAATTTTACTATTGCCTCAGGGTGTGAAGAGTGTAGTAGACATGAGATAACTGCTATGAGAGTTGAAATGGGTTAAGGGAAAGGTTAGTGGGGAGGAGGAGGAAGAACAATTTATAATCTCGGAAATAGGATCCGAATCGGTTAATAATTTGCATGTTCAATAATTGACAGTTGGGGTTGGGCGCTATTAACAAATGTCATGTTAGTGTTCGGTCCAAGGGCGCAGGTGTGCATGGCTTGGCATCAACTGTGAGTTCTATGACTCGATTACCACTGTCATGTACAAGTGATTTATCTAATTGGACCACAGAACATGGAATTATTTTCAGTGATCAATTGAGAATCCTCCGGTGAATTACATCGCCCCCCAGTGGGACTCGGCCTCGTCTATCGGCAGTTATCCACATCGGATCCGGAGCCGCTCCGTATTCTTTGACACTGGGGATTTCACTTGAGCTTATTTGCTTGCACTGCTATTCTTGCTTTAGTAACAGTGGTGAGGCCTGTGAGATTGAGGATTCGCTTCGTTTGGGCCCCATTCTTTGTGTAGTGATGTCAGTGTGGGCTAAAGACACTGGTATCCCAAGTCGGCATCTCGTCCCGAGTACACTAACTCCTGCTCAAGGAGTAATCTAGATTAGATTGACGACTATTTACGCAGTTTTTATTTACAAATCTCTTTTCTTCCTCAGTTTATGTCCCTGTGCTCCGTATGTGTTGTCATCACTGGCGACAACCAGCGATCATGCATCTATAAGGTGTACTTCCGAGGTAGTGAAGCAATTGGGATGAGGGTACTGTTTGAACATCAGATAAAAGTCAATCGAGCTATGGCTTGCCCGTTTATCACTCCAATAAGACAAGGGAGGTTGGTATGCTGGCTTTGATGATGCTGAGGGCTTCATACGTTAAACAGTGTCCTTTGAACTAAGCACAAGACTCTGGTAAATTGGCAGCGACAATATATCGAGATTTCATATCACGGTCATATCAACTATCTGATGCTAGTATTCTATAGACTTGCCGATAATAACTGTCGCGGGGAAATGTCTCCATGAGGTAGAAGAGTGATAGAAGAACAGATCAAAACTTTCTGTCGCCAAAAGATTGACCTCGATAGTATGTATTAGACGTCCGCGTCTCTCATTCAGGTCTCGTTCAATAACTAGTCTCTTGTGAAGTTGATTGACTACTAGGGAGCCGTCAAAGTGACACAGCAGCCATACAGGTGAGTCTTCTACAATCAACAATCACCTATCGTCAACTTCATATGCCCGTCTATTGTCTATAATTGCTAAACCAAACCAAAGCGCCATATTAATACTCCGAATGCCCTCAAAGCCCATTACTTTTGCATGAAAAGACACTGCTCACTTGTCCTGCACGGAACTGATCTATGATACCCTGCACACTGACGTATGTTCCCAGCGTGAGATACAGAACACCAGTCAACATGATGACAACATTGAGGGCCACTGAAAGAGCGTCAAGAATGGGATTTCGTCTCCTTCCAACCTTACGATCTGCATTGCGCATGCGGAAGTAGGCCAGAGCCCAGAAGATGAAGCCGAACCAGCAGTTAAATAGCGACGACATGACTGACAGCACTGAGAATGCGTTAGCACTGCTTGATAAGTCTGAGGGTGAATACTTACACGAAGAGAAGAATGGAATAATCTCAGCGATAAAGAATGAGGCGGCCCAGCTGATCAGCAACACTAACCCCCACCAGAACCAGCCCTTGAGGGTGTGTGATGTGAGATGCTTGGAGTCCTTGAACATTCTGAAGAAGACAAATCGGCCTGTGACACTTGCATACAGGCATCCGACAAAAATAATGGTTGGGACCATGAAAGAATACGAGACCTTCTTGTAGGTATCAGTGAGGACACCGAAGGCTGGTGTGACCATGTACTGGTTGCCCGTGTAAACGTAGATGACAGACCCGACAACGCTGAATGTGACAATCTCGGCCATGGTGCAAGCCCACAATGCTTTGGGGAAATCTCTGTTCTTTTGTCAGAATCATCATGGTGCATCGAATGGCACAGCAACTTACCTTGGATCACGCATCTCAGCAATAAAGCTGGGAATTGTGGTCTGACCGATGAATGTATAACTCATGTTCATGAAAGCTGACATGCCAGTAACAAGTGTCGTGGTCTTTGGTGTCCAGATTGAGATTATTGGTTCCCCCATCTCAGGATAACCAGCGGGATTGCCCTGAGCGCCTGCAAATGCCGTTGCCAGGATGACGGAAATGAATGTAAAAAACGTCGAGGCAAAGCCAAGCTTTGACAGCATGCTAAAGGTGCGAGGAAGCGACCCGATCCAGCTGATTACCGTGACTACTGCAGCGAATGCCACGGTTCTGCAGCCTGATATGGAGTCGGCCTCGGTCATTGTGTTGAGGTAGATTGCACCAACCAAGACATGCAAAGCTTGAATGAAGGTATTGTTCAGGACAAACATGGCTGCTGTCCACCACCACGCCCATCTCTTATTCCACCAGATCATCTGCCCGATGTCGCATACATCTCTAACCTCCGGATGTCGCAGACAAAACTCCCAAAGCACAAGACTCGTGTACAGAACAAGCCCAGCTATGACAGCCGTCAAGATCAACCCAGGCACTAGACCCAGAAGACTATACGACCAAGGGAAGCTCATGATAGAGAGCACAATGTACTCGCTAAAGAGCAGCCCTGCAGTCTTTTGCCAAGAACATGTCCTGTACTGAATAGCATTTCCCGCTTCGGAAGCGACTTGCTTGTCGACGAGATCTTCAGCTGCGGTGCTTTCGCTTTCGGACACATGCGCCAAGTGCTCGGCGAGGGGTTCGATTCGCGGGCCAATTGTGACGTTGGGCCCTCCAAAGGCTGATGCGAGCCAAGGCCGTCTGCTTGGCGTGCGGGAGGTTTGAAGCTCAGAGTCTTCTAGCGTAGATGTCTTGTCCATGATGATGTACGCGCTATCGCTGATGGGAATGCTCAATACAAGCAGAATGCAATGCTACAGTGGAGTATGCAGGATGAGAGAGAAGAGAACGACGAGAATAATCACTCAAAAGTAAAGAAACGGCTGGAGTAAAGTACCCGTCCATGGAAGAGAGGCAGCAACGGTAGTACCAGAACTTGGACACTAACACAAGTAAGGCCGATCTGCAGTGAGCGAACTCCCCGACGATGCATGATGAGGCGTCGGGTACCTCGCAACAGGGAATGCCCTTGGCGATCAACGATACCACCATTCAAACGGCATCTGTGCTGATTGGTCTTGGTCTTGGTCCTGGTCCTGGGGCTGCGGAGATGCCCTCACCTCGGACACGGCGTCCCCAGCCATGCTCGAGATGATAAGAACTGTAGCAATGTGCTCGACCGGTGTGGCAGAGCGATTGATAGATTGACTCCATCGTCTCTGCTGAAGCAAATGCCTTTCTGGTGCATCCATCTTGTTCTCCAGCAGGCAGGTCTTGTTCCAACATGACGCTGTGGCGGTGGGTTGCTCAGAATCACTGCAGATCGTGTAAATTCCTGAAATCACGCAATACGCCAGTCGTCATTATTAAAAGGTGCTGCCTGTCTGCCACTCTCATTGCACAGACCGTAAGTGGGTATGCAGCTTAGTGGGTTTGGGTTTTAAGCTTACTGCCCATAAGCTTGTTTTCCAGCACTCAGCTTCTACTGGTCAATCAACGGAAATAGGCCGGCGCCGCCGACGCCCGACCTCTTAGGAACCGGAGATATTACCCGTGTATTGTTAGCACCTCCTATTGTACGACAATCACAAGCCTCTATTAGTCAATCTCACCAATGCATTCGTGCTAGCAGTGATACACGGAACGATTAACTCTTTAGACTTATTGAAGCGCTACAAGTAATTGAATGGGACATCATAAGCAATTTATTACACAATGATCTCGGGTCAATGGCTCCAAACCATTCCTAGAACACATGCCTTCACTCTTACCGGGACTGAAATTACGCATGTGAGACACGGCTATGGCACACGTTATTCTGGTGCCTTATGCAAGCCTGTAATGTCTGACAGAAGATACCCTGTACCTGCTGTGTCCGCTGCTAGCCTCATTAAAGCACATTCTGGCGAGAGCATGCATCTTGGACGATAAAGTTTTGAGAATAGGTCTACATCCACGTGTGTTTTATCATCGCATGCATATAAATAATTTTGATTCGAATGTCACGATTAGATTGTAATGTATTGGTTAGATGTTTGTCGCAAATATCATGTACTCAACTATCCATCATCCGCCATGGATGCTCTGTTTACTGATCCTTGACATCCGAAATTTTGAAACCTCCAGGCACCAGCTTCTGGAAAACCTGCTCAGGATCATACTTGGCCGCTGCATCCTTCATCTTCTTGATATTCTCAGCACCATAACTACCAAGAGGATCCTGACTCTTATCCGCATAATTCAAATAAGTCCACTCAAGGTTACCCCCCTCGATAGTAGCAGCAAACTCTTGCACGTCCTTAATCCAAGCCTGGACTTTTGGTCGTGCGAAAGCTTCCTGTTCAGGAGTTTGTGCCATAACAACAGCGAGGAACAAAATGCCGTTCGTCTTATGACGGTCCATACCCATGATGTTGCCGCCTGCTTCAACGCCGCGTTGGCCGAAGAGTGTAGGAAGAGGTTGGAAGAGACATTGAGTGATGAAGTTACCATCAGGGATGAAAGCCTTGAGTTCTTCGACCAGCTTATCGTGAAGCTCTGAGGCTTTGGTGATGATTCGGGTATCGTTCTTGAAGCAACATGTGAACCAGGTGTCACTATAAGGTTAGCTTGAAAAGCGACGAGACACATCAGTTGGCTTACTAGAAATTCGCGGGAATATTGTACTCGAAAGCCATTTCGGTTAGAGTAGTGTTCTTGACAGTGCTCATGATCTCGGGAAGAGCTAGCCACTTCTCATATGCTGGAGGCTTCTCGATGCCTTCCATGTTGGCATACAGAGTAGCGACAACGACATCCTTGAAATCAGGCATATGCGTAAAGATGGTGACGAGGTTGCTGTGAATATCATTGGGAACGTTATCCGTGAAAGCAGAGAGAGCCTCGATGGCACCAGGGATAACCTGCTTAGGGAAGAAAGTCATTCCACCCCAGACCTTATCAGACTTGATAGCTTTCATAGTGAAACTGGTGACGATACCAAAGTTGTTTGATCCACCTTTCAGTACGCGGTACAAGTCGGTGTTGTTCTTCTCATCGGCGGTGATGACATCGCCGTTGGCAAGGACAACTTGGTACGACACAACGTTGTCACATCCAAAGCCTTGTCGAGCTGTGAAGAAAGCATTGCCGCCTCCAAGAAGAAGACCTGCAACACCAACATTACCCTCACGACCACCTGCAACAGCACGGCCATGCTTGCTCAACTCAGCATAAACCTCTCGCCATCGACAGCCAGGTCCAATATCAGCTGTTTCAGTAGCAGCATCAAAAGACACATGGTTCAAATGAACAAGATCAATAGTAACACCACCCTCAATATTGTTCGACCCAGCCCAGTTTGTATGTCCACCACTGCGAACAGCAAACTTCTGGCCAGCAGAAACAAGAGCCTTCACAACGGAAGCGACTTCTTCAGGGGTACGAGGCTGGACGATACAAGCGGGCTTTATCTTGGCGCTGTTGGACCAGTATGATTCTTGGCGAGCTGAGAACTCGGCATCCGTAGGCGTGAGGATCCGAACTTCGAGACCAGCTGCAATGAGGCTTTCAGCCTGAGGGATCGACGGTTGAGGAGTAAGGGTAGTCATGATTGGATGCTTGTGGGTAGAGAAAAAACGAGAGGGATTTGGGTTTCTGACGCTTCCGAGGGGCACATAATCAAGGCTGTCTATGTATGTGACTGAAGCTGATAGACTGTCGGAGTCCTGTTGTTCTCCATGGGGAATAGACAGATACCCAGGGCCCTGGTATCTGGTCCTGTTTCGTAAATCATTTGCTCCTTTGGTATGAGGAATCCTTTGACGTTACATTCTCCTGACACTTGCATCATGCTTAACAGGACTATTTAATGGGGCTGAAGAAGCTAAAAAGTAAGGGTTCTGGGATGGTCTCTTCCTGTACGAAAACAAAGACCTCGGTAAGGCATCTCGCTACCATGCTATTGGAAGGGGAGTTTGATAGCGTCCGGAACTAGGGAAACCCGTTTCATCTTCCGAGATAGTCATGTTAGAGCCCAATTACGAAAACTTGAAATTGTGAAGCTACGTATCGAAGTTGGGCCTGAATATTCTGGTCGGAATTTTAGTACACTCCGAAGCTAAGGTCTCGGATCCGCACCATGAATCCTTCGTTGAATTCGGCTTCGATAACCCTGCTCCCCCGTAACTGCCAAGGGTATTCTGCAGGCTGACATATATGAATATCCTTGTACACTTGAAGAAAAAGTGCTGATATATGGTTACTTCTTCTGGGTTCCTCAAGCTTCTCATTGACCTGTCCTCGAGCAATCATATAATCGTACAACCAAATTTCAACTGTCAGATCATATTTTCGTATGCGAATAGCATCAGCGGGCTATCCCTAGCGCATCCGCGGGCACCGAGAGCTCGGAATGCCGTTTCAACAGCCGTCCGCATCACGGAAGGCTTGGAAGCTATCGAACAGGGGTATATATGTCAACGTCCACTGACTCAGAGTAACATCCACAGAAATAGAGTTTTGACTGTGTATGAAAGATGCTGATCTCTTCTAACCGACGTCCAAGGTTCTTAATCCTTACAATCGTTTCTTTTTTCTCTCCTCAGGAGTGGGCCATATATCCGATATAGGATGCAGTAATATGCATGCAGGTACTAAGTTAATTGAATGAACGTAGAGGCTGTGTATTTCTACGAATCTGATATTTTTCGCTCTTCGTTCCTGCATGTGATTTCGCATTGACATCTTCTTGCTACGTGCTTCTTTGTTAGTTGGTTCATCTCTCGCAATGGCTGCTGTCGTTAATGGCGTTCCCGTCGCGATACCACCACCCGAAGGCTACAAGGTCGACTTTGATAACCCGCAACGGAACAGTGTCACTGCAGCATACTGGCTTTATGGCATTGGGAATTTCTTGACCGTCTTGTTCATTGCACAGAGAGTATATGTTAGAAGTTTTATACATAAGACAATACGGATAGAGGATGGTAAGCCACGTTGACCCCCTTATTTTGTGCGCTTTTGCTAATGTTTTTGAAGCATGTTTAGGGGTAGCATATGTGAGCAACATCACCCGAGACTTCATGTCTTGCATCGACAAAACTGACCGATCCAGGTGTTTTCTGTAGTACTTCAGACCCTGATACTAAGTCAGTGCTCAAGACACCCTCACATCTACCAGACTAACGTGCTCGAGCGTCTAGGGGACTTTATCCGCGGCATAATGGGCACCCACGGATGGGAGATGCCAATAACCAAGTTCGCCCAGTTCGCACGAGCCCTCTACCTCCTACCAATCCTCTACAACCCCGTCCAATGCGGCGCAAAGATGGCTTTGCTTCTCGTCTACCGTCGGCTTGCACCACAAAAGTGGTTTCATTTCACAATCTGGGCTACTTCGTTTGTGGTGATTGGGTCCTCGATTGCGATCACGTTTACGACAATCTTCCCGTGCAAACCTGTAAGAGCAGGCTGGGACATTACAATCACCGATAAGAAGTGTATCGATCGACCAGCGGTTTACCAGGCTACAGCTATCATGGGTGCGATTACAGATGCTATGGTGCTTGCGGTGCCGATACCCGTTGTTATACCACTGCAGATTTCGAGAAGGCAAAAGATTGGGTTGATTTGCTTCTTTGGTGTTGGTGGAGTGTAAGCAAAGGTTACACAGGAAACAAGGACAGGCTAACAACAAGCAGTACTGTCTTCACATCAATCATGAGACTGATTGCGTTGATTCGGTCCATGGGCAACGTCGACCAATCCTGGGGCGGTGGACCTGTTCTTCTTTGGATGTAAGTCACCTCTTCCTATCAAACGTTTTATCTAACCAGCCCAGCTTCGCCGAAGCCAATCTCTCCATCATTTGCGCAACTCTCACAACAGTCAAACCATTCATCAAACACATCTCTCCAAGGATTCTCGGCTCCTCATACGGAGCGTCAAAAGCAGGCATGTCAAACCCAAGCGCACCACCAACCATTGGAGCAATCTCCACTGGCGGTCTGCCCAGACATGACCATTATGAACGGTTTGACGATGGGCCGATGTATCCATTGCAGACTGTCACCAAAGCAGAGGCATCAAGGGGTCAGGATAATAAGAACGGAGGATCACGCTCGGTCACACGGCCAATGTCAGGGGATAGTCAAGGAGATTCGGATTCTGAAAAGGCAATTCTGCAGACGCGTACTACAACAGTGACATATTCTTAGAGAAGTCCTAGTGGCGTGTTGGGGGATCAAGATACATGACGGACATCAAGGCATAGATAAAATAATTTGAGGCTAGAGTGACATACATTTGTCTGAACTTTCAGGTTCTCGTCTTGTTTCTGTTTCTCCTGGCAATAGCTGGTACTTAATGACTGAAGACTACATACCCAATGATCAGTAAATGTTAAGACAAAGCATCATACACACCCCAGATAAGAAATGTCAGGCTTGTGCAAATAGTGGTATCAAAATCTGATGACCTACAGCAAAGCCGCAAACGTTGGATTCTCAACTAGAGACAAGTGCTGCAGACCATATTTGGCTCTAGCGAGTTTGTGGTTTATATTTGTTCTTCAGTTGGATAAGAGCAGATGTGTTTCCTGGTGATAGTGTTTTTGCTAAGTTGTAGCTAAAACGCGTAGATTGTATTTAGAAAGTCCATAGGGAGCGGAAAACATCACACCTTGATATAAGATATGAAAATAGCAAAAGGTTTACTGAGCCTATCATAGAGTCATTAAGTTACCTAACTGCTTTTGTTTCTTAGAATTGAGGGCCTGGGTTTTTTTTTCGTTAGTTGCCAAACAAGCAAGTGGTAGTGTATTGCTGTTTGTTGTGCTACATAAACTGACGTGCGCTGCACTGGTCAAGAAAGCGTAACAAACAATAGTTTATTCAACTATAAATGCTCTCTAGAATCCAGGCGAAGATCACAATTATTCATTCCTCATCTTACCCACATGACTCCATCTTCACAATCTCACTCGCACCACACCTTTCACCTGACCGCCATCATGGACCCTTTTGAGGCCAACTACCAAGCCGCTATTGAAAAGCACCTTAATGAACCCCCTCTATTCCGCTCAGTTGGGAACACCGCGGTTTTCCAATCCTTGCTGCGACAGCCCGAACATCGCGCTGAAATCAGGGACACTGACATCGGGCATGACTGTCTGAACCGTGCCATCATCCAGGGAAACAAGGAGAGCGTCAAAGCCCTTGTTGATCTTCCTCTTTCTGAATTTAACTGGACCAGTCAGTTGTCCTGTGCCTCTGTTTTGACTGCTTGAAATTCTGACAACCTCTAGGTCATCCTGTGGCATACCTCAAGGCCATGGGCCACCTGCACACAGCTGCTAGGCTTGGCCGCTTCGAGGTCTTCAAGGTATTGGCCGACACTGGAAAAGTTGACATTGGCGGAGGAGACCCCTTTGGGATGACTCCACTACATCACGCAAGCGAAAAGGGTTCAAAGGCGATCGTTGAATATCTGTTGGCTGGGGGTGTGAAGCCTGACGAGAAGGACGTGAAAGGCCGGACCCCTCTCTCCTATGCAGCTGAGAAGGGAAAAAGTGATGTCGTTGAGGCTCTCCTTTGCGCTGAAGGCGTGGACTCTGACTCGAAGGACCTTAGAGGTAAAAGTCCTTTCTACTATGCTGTTCTCTCTGGCAAGGACGAGACGGCAGACATCTTGAAGACTTTGGGCGGTGTTGACCATAGCGTCGAAGCAAAGGCAAAGGTAGATCGAATGATTTATGATAGCCAACGTCCATAGTTCAGAAGGAGGTTAAGAATAGGGGGGGATAGATTGCACTCTGTGTGAGGAACGAAAACTTAGGACCTTGATCCCAAGTGATGAAAAGACTTAGGCAACTTAGCATAAGTTTATGATATCATTTGCTAGTTTTGTTTTGATATCCTGACATACATTGAGCACTATATATTGTCCTGTGTGGAGACTGTCAATGGAACGTAGGAAAATTGATAGCAAGAGCTCTGTTGGGTGAGGTAGAGTTTGGGGAGAATCTTCCGACGACTAGATTGCGATCGATGAGAACCATGTGAATCTGTTACTAAGCATCTTGCTCACTCCCCAGAAGGCGGCTTGATTTCTGTGCCAACAGGAAGCGGCTCACCCAGATCAATCATATCATCTTTCCAACTAAGCGGCTGAATAAACGTCTTTCTAGAGGGACCACAACGATCTTCCGCGTTGAGATTAGCATGAAAGACATTCCAATCCTCTGTACCATCAGGACTCTTGAAGAATGCGTTATGTGCAGGTCCGTAAAGTCCATTCTTGGTCTCGAAAATAGGATTGGGTAACTTGGCCCAAGAGTCTGGGCTAAGCGGATCAGAACCTGTTGTGAATTTCATGGCGCCGAGCTTGTAGGCGGGTGTGTTGCAGGAGTCAGCAGCGTAGACCACGTAAGTTGTTCCACCTGGGGAGATGATTCCATAAGGTCCTTCGAGAACGTGCGAATCGGACTTTTCCCATTCGAACTCTGGGTGTGCGATCATTGTGGCGTTGCCGCATGTTGTTGGTGATAGAAGTTTGGCGATCCATAGAGAGGCACCGTCAGGGCTCTTGGGTCCTTCGACAGAAGAGAACTGGTAGTATATTAGGGCGGGGTAGTAGGAAGGGCTGTATTATACTTACAAGGAAATACTCGGTTCCTTCAATTTCAAAGATCGTCTGAAGCCAACGTAAGTCACAGACCTTTCCAAGATGGCAAGATCATGGCTTAGCTTACCGCATCGAGCATTCCAGCATTGAAATTAGGAGGAATGATTGCATCCAGCATCTCATAATCCGCCGATAACGGATTCTCCTTGCCACCTTTGAGAACATATACTCTCAAAGTTGGTAGCATAACATCCCAATTGCCCTCGTCACATATACTTGCGGAGAAGTACACATACCAAGTATCATCAACTTTGTGCATCTCTGGGGCCCAAAAGTTGCACGCCCTGGTAGCATTGGACCTGTCAGACCAGATAAGCTGGGACTCGGCAGTCTTGAGGCCTTCGATGGTCGGGGCCTTGGTGATGCTGACGTTGGTCCATGTTGTCGAGGTTAGGTAGTACCTGGGAGCATGTTAATCATGGAATACTCAAGCACTGGCTAGAGACGAGTCTCACATTCCATCTTGATAGACTATTTGAGGGTCACTTCCTGTTCGTATAGGATTGGTGAACCCAAGAACAAAGCCTGAGCATAACCAGAGAACCGAAGTGAGTACCGACAAGATAAACATTGTAAGTCAAAGAACCTTTCTTTCAGAGATACGAGTAAGAGAGCCGCTTTTTTCTATCGTTATGGCAGTTGATTTTCATGCTTTCTTATATGCTGCTATGTCACCGATCATTTCCATAAAAGGAGTCGGTCTCCAGGATAAATTGCCTATATTACGGAGCCCTCGTATATCGTGCAGCATATGATCCGATGTTCATGCAGGTCTCCCTATAACAAGTGACATATACTGCTTGCTATTTGCTCGGCTACTCTAAGGTTACCTCGCTGAGAGCGAACCGCGGGGTATGTGAGGGGCGGCTACATGATTTAAGCTTGATCCTCATGCTTAAAGAGGGGATCGACAAGTTGTTCACTTTATCCAGGCGCTCCAATAGCCTGAGTCCCTACTGAAGTTTAGCTTCTGGTCCCTACTCTCTGTGTTGATGCTATCCGTGAGCAACTTGGGACCATGCTGTGACGTCCGGAGTATAATCACAAGCCTTATCATCCGGTATGGTGTAGTGGCTAACATTTCGCGCTCTCATCTTCAGCTGAGGGATCAGTACCGCGGAGCCCAGGGTTCGATTCCCTGTACCGGAGTTTCTTTTTGATCTGTTTGTAATTATATATTTTTACACAGAGATTCTGAATAGTTAAGGAATTCTCACTCCTCTCGTGTTACACACATGTCCTCCGTGGTATAATGCGTATTCCGCAAGCAATTTCAAGAACGCTTTCAGTAAACCTCCCATAATATCAAAAAACATTTATAGTTCTCATTTGCTGGTGTCCACCACATAACGGCCAGTAACATTGCCTGCAATCATCATATCGTAGACCTTCTGGAGTTCTGACAATCCGACAATCCTAGATTCCATGTTAGTCTTGTTCATGATTGAACAAGGTGGATGTACTTACTTGTATGGTGCCTTGATGAGACCTTGTCTGTAAAATTCAATGGCTTCAGCAGTGTCCTGTCGGTTACCGACGTAGCTGCCCTTGATGTTGATTTCACTATTGCACCATATTAGGGCTTATCTTGCAAAGATGGCTTGTCCCACTTACCGAACGACAGTGTCGAAAACAGGAGCCTTGATGAAGGCATTGGCTGGTAACCCAACACAGACTATCGTGCCCTTGCTCTTGACATACTGACTAGCCTGTTGGAATGGTTTCTCACTGGCTGCAAGAAGCAGAACAGCATCGGGGCCGAGGCCACCTGTAGCGTTCTTGATCTCGCCAACAATGTCTGTCGATGTCTTGAAGTCAACAAAGACATCAGCACCAAGCTCAGTGCAGACCTTGCGCTTCTCGTCTCCTCCATCAAGAGCAGTTACTCGTAGACCCATGGCCTTGGCATATTGAATAGCGTAGCTGCCAAGACCGCCTCCAGCGCCAGCAATAACGATACTTTGTCCTGGTCGAGCGCCAGAGGACTTGAGAGCCTTGTAGACTGTAAGTCCAGCACACAGAATAGGTGCTACACCAGCGAGATCACAGTCCTTGGGAATTCGTGCAACGTGTGCAGCTTTTCCTACAGCGTACTGCTGGAACGAACCATCGACAGTATATCCTGATAGAGAAGCCTTTGAGCAAAGTGACTCGTTAGATTGTCGACACTGCTCACAGCTCATGCAGGAGCCATGCAGCCACTTGAGGCCAACATGGTCACCGATTTCAACGTCTTTGACGAGTTCTCCTCGTGCTACTACAATACCGGCACCTTCGTGACCGCCAACAAGGGGCATCTTGGATTCAAGTGGCCAGTCGCCATTGACGGCGTGAAGATCTGTGTGGCAGACTCCACTATACTTGACGTTGATCAGGACCTCATCGGAGCCTGGCGTTGGAACAGGGATCTTTTTATATTGGACAGCTGTTTTCGTCAGAATCTTTCCTTTGTCCCATCGTAGATTTTAGCTTACCTCCACCTCGTTCTTCCAAAACCTGTGCCCACTGTTCATTAGGAATGACGGGGCTAGCAGCTGTAGCGTAAGTGGCAGTCTTGCCGAGGCTACTGTTAGCACTGAAGCTTGTGGTGATGTTTCCGGCGCTAGCGCGACTGTTAGGGCTATGCCGGGCGCATGACTGTCCTCCTGAAGTTGCACAGCTTGCGCAGAGTGTTCGTTGACTGGAAGAAAAGTTTCGACGTGTTGTTTGAATCTGAGCTGTTGCTGAGCGTGCGAGAAGTGCTGTGTTTCGCGAGGCCAATCTTCCTGTTCGGAGGATGCTAGTTCGCATCACGTTGCTTGACGATAGCATTGTAGCCTTGCTGTAGAGTAATTGTATGTGCTGTAATTGGGTATGTTATGGTGTATTGCAATTGGGTGAGTCAAAGCTTGGATATATAGCAGCGGCATGCTTCAACTTATAAAAGAAGCGTCCGTCAGCCCATAATGATTATTCCGTGGTGCCACGGAGCATCAACCGGTTCTGGATATTGCTTCTGATCAGATCATATTCAGTCAAACTCTAAAACGGACCCAAACTACCGGAGATGGTGATGGTGTAAAGTCGTGGGCCTGTCAGTTACTGTGAGCCGCGCTACGATGTACCTTTATCCGCGGAGATGCGGCAGAGCCAGGTGACCCCGTGGGGTCTACGCCCACTGTAGAAACCATTCAGGCCAGTCTCGTGTCTCTTATTTTACTGTGCCATGTGCCTTGCTCAATCCCCGCAGTGGAAACGTCTTACCATTCCGCAAAAGAGTGAGCCGATTCTTTTTTGACGTTGTAGTGATGGGTTCCAGTTCCAATGCTGAGCCGCTAACAGACGCTGACGTCCACCAATGGGTCTTGGGGAGTAAGCATATCTGACCTCCGGGTGCCCTATGGAGAAGGTGACACAACCCCCAAAGACCCCAAAGGATGTGCTACAGTATGTCTGCTGTTTGACCCCAATTACAGGGCTAGAAATATCCCGAATTATCCGCGTTTGCTTCTGTAAACAGCGAGAGGCATTTGTATTTCTACGCGCACCAATGTTAGAGATACAAAGCTGGTGATCTCTGCATTTCGAAGGGTAACAATTGAAGGATTCAAAAAGCAATATAACCCAAAAGCGACAGTTGCAGCGTTGCAATCGCGTAGTTATACCGAGTAACTTAGAACGTGACAGCCCTGGAAATTGAGTTCCTTTGATCCACTGCGGAGCCTTTCCCACGTGTCCCGTGCCGTGCCTGGGCTACGAAAGCCGCATTCGCAATCCGCAATTTGTAGGTATCGCACTCAAGTACTGGAATTGTGACTCCGAATTCTAGAGCCCCACCAACATCAGGAGATTTGGGCTTTTACGTCACGCGAGGCTGCGACTGAATCGACAATTTTCTCGATCAGGTCTCCGAGGTTCGGAAACAGATTACTCATGAGCTTCTGCCGTTGGTATGCGGAGGGGCAATTGGCCTTCAGTGGTAGAGAAACTTAGTAGATTGAGTTTGTGAAACTGTGAGCTTCAGAGGCCATTCATTCTCCTTTCAATCAAGATCATCATGCCTCGCGAATCTGGGTTCTCCGTCGCAAATAAGATCACCTACCATGTCGGACCTCATGAGATTATTTACACTTGCACCTTCACGGAAATCTTTAGGGGCACTCCGTGATATCATTCATATTTGGACCAATAGATCTAAGACATTCTTAGGAACAGTCTAGGGGATGCTATCTATACATTCTTTTACGTTAAAGATCTCCAAAGAATCTGAAACAGAACTATAATGGTTCGCGGGATATTTCTCGAATTTCTTGACACAATCCTTCAGCCCAAAGTACATCATACGTCACTGACAATGCCAAGTCACGAATCAAAGAAGCCACGTTCAGAATGAAAAGCAAGAAGACCCCATAACTACTAACAATAGCATATCGGGAGCTATACGAGCTCTATGCTTTCGTGTTGGTTTGGATGGTGTTTCAGCCACTCGAGATAGGCAGCCCTATCTAAGATCCTACATGACGACCCATATGCATAAGCTCGCTACCCTTGATCGACTACGGAGTACGGAGTAACTACCTAGAAGAATAATGACATTAGGCAGTCAATCATCCCCTGCTAACACTATGTCATCGCTCTTAGAAAAAAAACTAGGCCCATGTTGCGAGTGAGCGTGGCGCAGCGAATACGAAGACTCCCGTGATCTGACCAGCAGTGCTCAATACCCCTGTCCGTCAATTCAGTATTGTGGTTGGCTTAATCAACGTTAAAAATAGCTGTCTTACTAAACTACACAGGCCTCCATATAGAGGATTCGTGGATGTTAGTATAAGCATGTGTCATTGTTAAAGTTGTAGTATAATTACAGCTGGGAGAATGTTTCATATTGTCTTAGTATTTCTCTTGATTTATTCGAATGAACATGAATGACACAACTGGCATCACCACTGCCGCTGCCCGACTTGTTGGAATAACAGATGAAGCGATACGATTCTTCCAACAACTTGACCGGAATACCAACTCTGTCTCGAAACGCGTGCAGCAGCTTGAGAGTTTTTCGAAATTAGCCAGGGATGTTGAGCTGAAACCTGTGGCTAATGATCATGATGACGAAGATCAACTCAGTCTGACCAAACAGATATTAATTTACTGTTATAAACTCATCAGCAGAATTCTCTCTCAGCTCGAATGGGTTGATAATGGCGGTAAACACACTTCTACTCAGCAGGGACTGCTTGGGGTCTACGCTGAGCTGAATAATCGCGAAGTCAAGGATCTGTTTGAGGATCTGCATAGGGAGCAGCTATGCCTCGTAGCTTTTCGAAATTCAAGGTATGTGCCCTTTCGAAATATTTAGTCATGGCTCGATTTAACTTTTGATAGATTCAAGCCGCTATCTTGGGCTTCAGAGTCTGATAGCCGTCCTTTAGAATATTGCCACACTTTCATGGATCACGAGTCAGGTTTCTTGAACTTGTTGTTTGTCACAGATCCAAGAGAAGACCGCGCATCTATCCAGTCAAGCCAAGGGCCCATCGCCAAAGGAACATGTACCTGGATCATCGAAACATCCGCATACAGGTCATGGCTCTCAGGGTCCGGTGACTCCAAGGGCCTTCATATCCAGGGCGGCGAAGGCCACGGCAAGACTATGTTAGCTATAAACCTAACCGAGCAGCTGGAGAAGCTTGCTATGTGTATGTCAACCGACACAGTATTATACTTCCTTTGCAGCCATGGAAATATCAACACCAATTCGGCCCCGGCTGTCCTTCGTGGTCTTATTTGGCAGCTCTGCAGATTACGTCCTGCCCTCTTGCATCACGGGCTAAATAGAGCTGTATCGACCGGCGAAGGGAGAACTGTGTTAGCAACCAACTCAGTCGAAACTCTTTGGCAAATATTCGCCGCAATGGTCCAAAATCCTAACGCAGGAACTGTTACATGCGTTGTTGATGGGCTTGACGAATGTGATGAGTCTTCGATCAAAGCACTGGCTGGGAGGTTCTCGGAACTGCTATCTTCAGAAAATCATAGTCGTCGAAACTTCCGGATCCTTTTGACCAGCCAACCATACCAGCAAGACAATTTCTCCACTGAGTTTTCAGTAATATGCCTAGACGCAGATGCACTCAAGCCTAACGTTCAAGATGTACAGCGTTTAATCAATCATCATGTTTCTAATATCGCACATAAACATGGCTGGTCTCAAGACTTTCAAGATCAGATCAGCAAGAGCCTCGCAAAAAGGGCTGGTGGTTCGTTCCTCTGGGCAAACATAGCTGTTTCTGGACTTCAAGGGCAAGACGAAGGTGATGCAGCAAAATATCTTGACGATCTTGCTGGACACATCAACGCCATCTATGAAAGATCTCTCTTGGCTGTCCCACTAGAGTTCCGCCAAAAGGTGCGATCACTCTTGACTTGGATAGCTCTGGCATACTATCCACTGAGCCTCCGGGAACTAAGCACTCTTACCAGCGATGAATTTTCAACGCCAGACACTGTTTTGATGAATCTGAAGGCTTGTTTGGGTTACTGTGGGACTCTTCTTGTGACCAAGACCGAGATAAGAAGATTTGGATCTGGATATGAAACCATAAAAACCATTCAGTTCTCCCACCGATCGGTCAAAGATTATCTGCTTCAGCCTCATGTTCTACGAACCGCTACCGACACCGATGATGATTTTAACTTCTTTCAAATCATCCCAGATAACGGGCATGAGATTCTGGCTTCTCGCTGTTTGGAAATTATGGAGAAAGGGCTTAAAACAGAGGCTGAAAGGGAGAACTCGTGGGAGTATGCTAATGCTTTACCATATGCCTCGCGATATTGGTTCAGACATCTCCGACAGTGTCCCGAACAGCTTTGCGATGAGACCTTGGCAAAAAGAGCGTTGACTTTCCTGATGCGAAACCATGGAAACCGAAGACTCTGGTTCTATTACCTCTCCAAACTGAGACACGGTCGGGGAGATACATCGATCATTCCCTCGACAGCATCCGAGCATCATGACACGATTGGGGGACTCCAAGAGATCAATGAAAGTGATGTCATATTCTTTGAACAACCAAAGGATACAACTTCTGCAACCCAGCTCAAAGACCTCCAATTGGCATGTCTCCTTGGTGTTGTTCCCATAGCAAGAAAGATTCTTGTTAGCACAAGCTTGCTCACCTACCTAAGACAAGCCAATATTAGCTCGCTTTACAGTCACTCTCGACCAAGACCAAGGTGTGAGGATCGAGTGATAAAGGTCCAAAGAGGTGGAATACTACCACTAAGCACAGCGGAGATCGTGGCTATGACGCCTATCGAACTTACGGTTCTCGGCGGCCACCACAAAGTCGCTTCGTTATTGCTCGACCGCTATCCTCGACGGCCCATATGGCAAGATTTATCATTTGCTTTGGCTACTGCTGTCAGTCGCTGCGATGAGGATATGGTTAGGCTACTGATAGAGGCTGGTGCTCCGAAGCTCAAAGCTTCTAAGCAGCTAGAAGGACCTATCTGCACTGCTGTGGTCAACCGAAGGCTTGATGTGGTCAAGTTTCTTTGTTGTTCTGAAGCCAAGATTTGGGCGAAGCCGAAGACCAAGTTAGATGAAGTAACACAAGCTTTGATGTGTCTTTCCAGTGCTGCCGACTCAAGCTTACTCGATAGAGAGGTCTTCATCCAGTATGCAAAGGTTTTACTTCGTGGAGGCGCATCTCCTGATGGCTTCGACATGTATGGAGGAAACCATGGCTTCAGATACTGGAAACGAGTTGTGATGGAATATTTACACAGGCATGGCATCACCCTACAGAATCTGGGACCATATCCCAATAGAGAGACCCCCCTAATGGTCTTCGTCTCTTCAATAGGTGCAAACAGCTCACTGTCTGACCCAGTGGACGCTGTTCAGTTCCTCTTGGACTCCGGAGCATCTATCAACCAAACAGATCTGAAAGGCTGGACTGCATTGCATCACGTCGCCAACCAGATTGCTCTGGGTAGAGCGAAGAAGAGTTACGAAACTACAGATGACGCAGAAGAGTATCAACTTTACGAGATCGCGAATCTTCTTTTAACAGCTGGCATTGATCAAAAGTTGGAAGACAGGGAGAAGCGTAGAGCCGCTGATATCCTGCGCGTGGTGGGAGCGCCGATCTGGAATAGGGATATCTCGGAGTATGAATCATTTTTAAGAAGGGAGCCACTCAGTAGATTGTCACTTACATAGAAAACTTGATACAAAGTTTCTAATATCTAACTAATATAGATAAGCCTCACCTATACCGAGACCATAAGTGATCTTAAGTGATCTTTGCTACAAAACTGTGACTCTATGTTCAAGAGCGATCCCATCATTTAATACTTAATCAGCTTGACAGAAAACTCCCAGCAGACATAGACTTGTGGCAGAGCTGACTTATCAGTTTTCTCGTCACCCATCTCACGAGGAATCAAGGGACTTGATAGTCGCGTTCATGACGTCCATCATCGGATGGGGGTATTTAAATTGCTGGGAATGAGGAAGGGAAGTGGTCGGGGCGGGAATGATAGCTACTACAGCCTAAAAGAAACAAAAGATCGATAGTTCTCTCTAGTGCTGATGCTATATTTGTTCGTGATATCCACCCACCGATGGTTGGACACCTTAGTTAGAGCTAACAAGCTGAATAAAGCATGGATTATTATTATATTCTAATAAAATCCCCCTTCTCTATAATAAACCCGAGGGAAAATGGTAGTTCAAGATATAAATTTCAAGGAATATAGACAAGTCCGTTTTCCTTGATCCAACCTCGCTCAGATAGAATTGAACATAGGATACACCAAGCCTTCTAATTCCGCAGTACGGCCCACGATACCCAGTGGCCTATCCAACCCCAATCGACGGCCGAATTTCAATTCTCGTCACCTTGAAAAGGCGTTTGTCTGAGCCCTGTAATAAATGGATTGATAGAATTGGCAAGATGGCGGCGCAGAATCTAGTTGGCCGGCGTACAAACGGCGTTCAAGCAAACGCACAAGTTCAACAGCCCATCAAGACATAAATCCGGGTAGGCAACACAGTCGTCTGGAGTAGAGCACGAATACTCCTCTACCGCAGCGGTGGTCGTGGTGCTGGCGGCTTCGGTAGTGGTAGACTCTTCAGCGATGGCGGTGGTAGTAGTGGCAATGTCGGTTGTCTCAGTCTCTGTGGCGCTCTCAATGGTAGTTGATGTGAGATCGGTAGTACTGCCAATGACAGTTGCAGTTGAGGTGGCCTCAGTAGTGGTTCCGGCTAAAGTTGTCGACGGACGGCAGGGGCCTGCATTTACAGCAGCAGCAAAGAGTGCCAGAGCACTGAGGACAGTGGAAGACAGCATGACGACTAGATAGTAAAAACGAGTGACAGTCAAGATGACGAAAAAGAATGAGTGAATGTGAACAACAACGAGTCAACTAAAAAAGGATGGCGGGAAAGTCTGGTTATTAACCCAACGAACGATCTACACTGATTGACCTCTTCCCCTAATTGCTTGTTGACTTTACATCTAATTAAATCGTGCATGTCACTAGTGAGTACACTATTGATTTGGCGTTGAGCGGCGCATTGCGGGTTTGCTTTTGCTCCGCCTAGGTAGGCTGTTTATTAACGCCACGAGCTAAAAGATTGAGCTAAATGTCGCGAAATTTTAATAGAAACGCAAAAAAGAAACATGCTCTCCGGTACAGGGAATCCCTGGGCTCCGCGGTACCCAGGTTATGAGAGCGCGAAATGTTAGCCACTACACCATACCGGATGTTATTGCTTATGCCAGGGGCTCTGCTACTACTGGATAGAATTGCAAAGCACAGGTTGCTTCTGCGCGATCTCGGGAGTTGGTTTCTAAAGTCTGGGCGGCATTCTACAACTGTCAGCTTTCAACTGAATGTTTCGAAGTTCAGTCTCTTACTAAGAGGGAGTCTAAAGTCAATTCGAATTAAGGTTCGAGTTTATACTAACTTTATATATATGTTGCTAAAACAAATTAAGGCAAAACAATTTTAGATACAAGCTGTGCTTCGGTCAGCGAGGCCTGTTTACTTTGAGCGAATGACCAATTAAGTTAACAAATTACATTACTCTATATCTAATAGGGAAAAAAAACATTCTAAAAGGCTATCTATGGCTTCGGGAAGAAGTCCTTGTACTGCAATAAAGCCTGCTGATACGGAATTGGCTTCCTCCCTGTCAACTTCTCAACATTATCATTCGTCTCAGCCATGAACCCCCTCGCAACCATCTCTCCACAGCACAAAAGATCACCAATACACAACTTCATCGGCAACTTTGAAAAGTCCCCAAAGAAGTCCGTAGGCAATCCATGATCCAACCACCAACTCTTCAGCTCCTCATCGGGAAGATCGACAATTTCTCCCTTGTACCCTGTTTGCTCGCACATCCACTTGAAAACCTCCTCGTTGGTGACAGCCTTAGGACCAGTGATCTCATAGACCTTGTTAGGTTCGCCGCGGCCTAGGAGAAGAGCGGCCAGGACGTTGCCGCAGTCTTCGCGGGCAACGTATGCGCCTGCTTTGCCGTGTGTGTTGACGAGCCAACGATCACCGCTGAATTTCCACGATGGTGCAAAGAGAGTTGGGATGTTATCCGCGTATAGATAGTTACGCTGGATGTTGTACTCTAGACCAGAAGCGTAGATAATCTTCTCGATAAAGTGGTGATCTCTGGGAAGGAAAGGAATGTCTTCCTCATTCTCAGCCTCAATACCAGCTCCGCAGAATGAAGTATAGCAGACTCTCTTGACACCACATGCCTTGGCAGCGTCAACGACAGTTTGAGCCTGACGACGTCGTCCTTCTCCAAAGAGCCAAGTTGAGATGAGAGAAACAGCTTCAGCGCCTTGAAACGCCGCCTTGAGACTTTCAATATCGTCGTAGGTGGCAGTTACGACTTTTGCGCCTTTATCGGTCCATGATTTGCGGAGATCAGCGGGGATAGCTTCGTCTTTGTATGTGGTGAAGACGAGCTCATCGCCAGGCTTGGCGATTTCTGTGGCGAAGCTTGCTGCGATGCGGCCGAGGTTGCCGTCTGCGCCTGTGAGAACGTACTTTGGCATTGTGAAAGATTGATAATTTGTAACAATATGTGGTGCAGAACATGAGGCTCTCGATTGCACTGCCAGAGGTCACATTTTATACGTAGTCAACATCTCCATATATTCAGTCACACCATATGCAACATGAGATGTTACACCGGGCGATCGAATTCCAAAACAAGTCCTGTAATTCCGAACTTGGCCGATCATGTCAGATCCGGACCCAGCGCGGCGGTAGGGCTCCGCCACTAGTCAATGACATCAGGTCATTTCTAGAAGCGATATCTCATGTTTCTATAGACTAAGAGATTTTCATCGAGTTACTGTTTTATCACCAGATAAAACATGCAATTGGCGCACGTCTCCGGTCTTCTTGAGTCGCGTTATCTTTGGGGTTACAACACAAATTCTCGGTTATCCCACGCTCAAGCGATGTACGACGTTCCGCAAACATTATACCAAATGGACCTAGCGGGGCATCACTCCTCGCGGGATAGATTCCGTTCTGGGTGGGATATGTCGCTTAGAGTGTCGGTGAACTTAATCTATCCAACAATTATCCATTCCTTGACCATGGAATTTGTCACGTTGTTGAGATTGACAGACTATTTGAGGTATTGCATCCGAAGTTGGTCGATGGGTTGATAACTTCATCTTCACCGCTATCACGCACAGGGTGGATTGTGTGATTCTACTGGCACCTTGACAGATCAGATCATGGAGTGAAAATTCCTCCAGTTCCGTTGTTTTCGGCGTCAGGGCGCCTCCACTTTCTTATCTGGCCTATGGTTCAGAATATCCCAATGTATTCAACTCTGACCATCGCAACGACATCTTGAGCAGCTAAATGATATACATCCCCATCTCCTTCGAGTCCCTCTCATGGTTCCAGCCCTGAGTCATATAATTCGTGATAAATCCAACCCTCTGATAGACATTCTCAAACTTCTGAACTTCCTCAGGCTGCTTCTTCAAAATCATCTCATCTGCCTTGACCAGCACCAACGCCGCATCATCATCCCATGCATTTCTCGTACTCATTCTTGTTGAAAACCTGAGGCAGAACAACTCATTATTCTTCAAGTTTCGCAGTCTCCAAAGACTATCCGGCCTGTCAAAAGGCTTTCTCGTATCATTCCCTGGCTTTTCTAGCCAGACCATATTTCCATCGATGGAAAAGGTTATAGGCATGACGCGGCCGGTGAGAAAGATGTACCCGGAATCGACAGCTCCAAACTGGTTATGGCCGCTAAGAGGGCACGCTGTACGATCAAAATCAACTGTCACGAAGAACTTGTCAAACTCAAAGCTCTCAACTCCCCATGTCACGCCACGATGAACGCTGAGCCAGCTCCAGCTCGGTGCGATGTACTCTGGTTCCTCGCCAGGGTCTTTCTCATCTGGCATCCAGCGTAAATCGTTGAGCAGATCCTTCTCCCAAAGACCTGCGAGGTATCTTCCTGTAAGTTTATTGGACCACTCTGTAGCCAATCCTGCAACGGCTGGGAGGCCGTCGGTTCGCTTGGTGATATTCTTCTGGGAATACTGAACAATCAAGTCCCGCCAGAGTTCATGATGTTCTATAAACTCTTTGATCTCTCCCTTTAGGGGGGCTGCGGGGTTGGTAGATGAGCCTCTGTAACTCTTTGTGCCGGTGATGAACTTGTGTCCTGTCTTGATGATTCGGCGAGCAGGTACCAGTGGATCATCTTCATGTTTCTCCAAAGCACCGCACTCGCACTCCATTGAAGACAGACAGTCGAAGATCATCTCACTCTTGGTGTAATGAAGAATTCGAGTTGCCAAAAGCCTCTCCTGAAAGCACCAAGCCCTGGTCATCAAAGGATAATCATAGACCTCGGAGACCGTGGTTCCAACAATGGGGTTGGAAGATCCCTTGGACCCGTTGGGGTCTGTGTTCCAACCAAATACTGCATGCTTAGCCACTTTTCGTCCATATATCTCATATGGCTTTCCGTCAGGGAATGTTCCGGAAACTGTGACGAAAGGCTCTCGTTGAAATAGACAGCCGCCAGACCCATCAGCGGATCCGGTGGCAGCTAAAACCAGCTCTGCGCCGTTGTAAATGGACGCCATCTTGGCTGCTTCGATTTCCCAATCTTGCCTATCATCTTGAACGATGCAAAGGGAGTCTATCCAAACATATCGAATGCCCAATTCTCTCGAGATGATAACAGCATCTTGGAATGTTTTGGCAAAACGATCGAACGGGATGTTTTGCTTCCACTGTTCGAGAGTTGCCTTTGTCGAGATCAAGTGCTGAGTCTTGCCCCAGCAATGAGACAATGCGATATATGGCTCTGTAATCTGCTGCGTGGCGTCATCGTGAACAAAGATATGGATTCCATCGTTTGTGTCAGGTCCAATATCGATGACTCGCTTTGGGAGTTGCGGGTTTGACGATGCCTCTCCTTCTGTACAGATTGTGTGGGTATCTTTGCAGGTTTTAATCCAGCTTTTGACCCTGTCGAAAGAAGACTTGGAAGTTGGATCTGGTTCAATGTGGCTTGCATGTCCGCCAATTTCAGCAGGAAGACTCCAGTCAGGACGTTCAACGTTCATAGATGAGCCGATGGTTGGCCAAGGGCAAGGCGAACCTATATATGTGAGCTATCGTTCCGGATGGTGGGCTGGATGTCTTACCAGCGAGGGTGTATATCTCGAAGCTCTCGAGAACGTCTCCATCCGTGCTTCCACCACCAGATGAAAACATATCAAAATCATCAGGAGGGCTCCCACGGATAAGTTTCATCCTTAAGACATTCCCTTTACAGAAGACAATGTCCAACCATAGCTCAGGATCATTGAGATCCACTGATCCTTTAGTTAACTTGATCAAGATTTCTTGAAGAAGGACACAAGAAGGGCAACCTCTAGCTACTGTTCCGGGAACATCGGGTAGATAGACACTGACCTGCCATGAGGCATAATCGATACGACCCCGTCCTGCCCAATCAGGAGCTTCATCTAGGTTACCAACCTTAGCCGCTCTGCCTGCGTTGATGGAACCAGAATTCTCATGCATAGCTATACCGGCCAGAGGAACAACAGTGGCAGTTGACCCTCCGTAGAGATTCCAGCATGTTCGACAGAGTGTCGGGTCTTTTCGTATATCATCTTCAGTGTCCCCGGTTGGGTAAGGTGTTCGCGTAAGGTTGAGTGAGGCCATCGTAAGCTTCCCCGCAGTGAGGATCCTCGTGCAGTAATCGCGTATATTCGCAGAGCAAGATTTGTCCACAACAACAAATGTTAAATGGCTTAGCGATATGATCTGACTATGAAGAGACTGAGCCTGAAACGAGTTTGACGGTCATTTGTTTTATCCTGCCACGCTGCCAGGGTCCTAAGGTCATGTGATGCCCCAGATAGCCAATCTGACCCATGCAGGAGGGTCAGCAACCTGATGAACACGTACGGCACTTTTATTTTCACGAAACCGCATCACAGATTGGTTTGGTTTGTGCTACACACACTATTTATGTCAAGTTTCAGTCCTCAACCTCATCTCAGACTGAGTAGTACAGATTAAGCCTAATCCAGACTTAAGAGAGTCGTGAGGGATCTTTATTTCAATGTTTGAAAAGTTATATAGAGCAAGGGAAATCTCGAACTAAGCAACTGAGATACAGCGAGCTTCGCAAAAGGAAAGGCTCAAGGGGGCAGCGTAGAAGAGAATGCAGAAGAAGAAGAAACCATCAATCAACAACTGAAATCAAACGTTGCAAGGGAAGTTGGTCATGTCATCCCGACTATTACCGTAACACAGGTAGTAGTTCTCAATGACTTCATCCATGGGGCAAATTGGGATGTTGAAGACACCAGGAGCCTCGATACCACTACCAGCAAGGCTATCGAGGGCCTCTCGGCTAGGCTCATCGAAAAGATCAAGCTTGAAGCCATTCTTGCCACCATTAGCAGCCTTGGAGTTCAGAGATCTACATCAAAAAGTTAGAAATAAACTTTCAATAGCTATTTAATGAGGCTTACCCAATGATAATATTGTCGAGCGAGATGTCAGTGAACTTCTTGTCCTTCAGAGACTGCCATCCAGGAGGAAGGGCGAAATCACCACAGTTAGAATCACCAGACTTGCTATCACAGTTGGTGTTACGATCGCGTCCACCAAGGAGCCAATAAGATTTCCCGTTAAAGCAGAAACGGCCGTCCTTCAGAGCACCATCGTCAATCCAGTGCTGGTACATAGTCGTGAAAGTAGCCTCCTTGTTCCAACCGGGGTCTTGATCGCAAGCAACATCGGATTCTGCGATGAAGGGAATGACGACATCGGGAGAGTACTGCCATGCCATGGGGATCAAAAAGGCGTTAATAGCGCGCTTGACTTGCTTGGCGTGGTCGCCACGGTCGAGAAGCCAGTTATCGCCGAACATAGAGGCGTCGGAGATCATGGCGCCGAGTTGATTGTAGCCGTCTTCGGAACCGCCGAAGAGCCACTTTTGGGTTGCGAGGACGCCGTCCTTCCAGCCTTCGGTGAGACCTTGCATTTGAGCTGTGAGACCGTTCTGGACTCCAAGCTGGTCTTGACTGGCACAGTTGTTAGTTGAGGAAGGAAATGGGTGGTGAAGCATACGCTCTGCCGTTGAGGATGTCCTTGGTGAGTGTCAAAGAGTTCTTGACAAGGTCGTTGGTCGTATCCTTGAGTGTCCCAGCATTGGTGCTGTCACTGAACTTGGGGCCGATCACTGCTCATCGTCAGTCCACGTCCATGCATAAGAGAAGCACAACATACGCTTGTTCCAAGCAGGGCCCATAACAATACCCCAAGCCATCAAGGCAATATCGATAAGAATGGAAGTAGCAAGACCTCCCTCCTTGGGAGGAACCTTGCCAAACTCTGAAGCAATGATACCAATGTCGTTGTCACGAACAGCATCGCCAACAGCGTTCCAAATGTTGGAGTGCATCTAGGCAATTTTAGCTTGCCAGGGCTACTAAGAAAGGTAAGAAACTCACAGCAAAGATGTTTTCGAAGGAGTGAAGAATGAAGTAACCAGCAGGAACACTGGTAGAGTGGCACTGGAGGTTGAGATCCTCACATCCACTGCCTTCATCACTGAAAGTCTCGCAGAACATGTCTTGAGGGCCGTGAAAGAAGTTGGAAACCTACAGATATCAGCCATGATACCTCTTCGGGGTTCAATTTGCAACTCACATTGTTGGAAAAGTGCTTCTGCTCACGTCCACCAGTAATGTTCATCTTCCATCCCTCAATAACAGCACCCCAAGCATCACCAGCATCAACATTCTGCCAGCGATCAGGTCCATATAGAGTATGATCCTTGACACCATCAGCCTCACAGTTCACCGAGCGCCAGTCATTGCTATCCTCAGCAGGAATGGGAGCTTCGAAAGAAACTGTAGCGGTGGGCTGTGAGACATCTTCGGCTTGCTTCACTTCTGGGACAGGTGTGATTGCAGTAGCTGGTGCATCTTGACGCTTGAAAGCTTTGGGAGGAAGAACTGGTGGGATCACGGCGTGCTTGGGGTAAATTGCATGATTGCTTGCGGGATGGGTTGTGCCAGTGGAAAAGAGAGAAAGGAGGACCGAAGTGGTCAGGAGAAGAGGTTGTGTCCAGCGTACCATTTTGGAATTCGCCTTTTCGTAGCTTGCTGTCTATCTTTACTCAATATTTCGTTCATCATGGAGTTCTCGAGTTATTATATACTCTTCCCATCACCAGTTTCTCAACCCATCATATCAAAGGATCAGCACATCAAATTCAAAAGTAAGCCCTAAATAAGCTTCATGCAACCGTTGAGTTTTCTGCTGAATCCTTCTGAGCCTCCTCAGCCTCACTCGGTGTTGACATTCAGAATCATGTTGCTCCTGAATAATCCTTCTCGCTAATCTAGTGCCCGTCTCTTGGCGAGTTCACCAGTTAGACGCGCGGATGGAGGCACGTAGTGGTAGGGGTATGTTTTGACTTGGCGCAGGGGTTCAGAACTTGTTTATTGGTCCCTGCTTTAGAGGAATTCTGTTTAAATTTGAGATAGAACTTGGGAGATCATTTGCTTGGGAATCCCCGTATGAACGATGAGGGCAAGGCAGTCTTGAAGATCGTACTCTCAACTACTTATGAGCTAACCTAAGTCTTACGCCGTATTTTTGACGGCATCATGCGCTTCCTTCAAGCTGGATAGTGTGATCTTCGTTAATCCCTTTGGGGAGAAAAGCGCAATGTCGTTTAGTTTTGTGCTGTGGCCCATGACATCAGGAAGCATACGCCGTAAATCAACTCATCATCGACTATGTGTGGTTTCGCCATCCAATGTTTGAAGACTTAATAGTCATGGGGCTAAATTAAGATCCCTTCTAGCTTGAACTTCCAGCATACTTGGTATTTATGCATAAGAAGAATCAGGATTAGTTGCAACCTTATATCATAGATTCCCTAGCACGGCTCTTCTTAGACCCGAGATAAGAACAAGCAGTTTACATGCCGATCTTTCAGGAGAGTTGGTCCATATTGTAAGATAAGTAATCGCTATCTCCTGTTTCAGTGACCGAGTCGAGGCCTCATGCCCTTTCAAGTTCTGAACCTCAATTTAAACATCGACTCGGTTGTGAAGGATCTCAATCCTCTAAAGCATGATTAACTGATCATAAATTTCTAATAGGGTCTTTAAAGGAAATAAGCTCGGATGGTTTGTTTCAGATTCATCGAAGGATCTAAGGCTGATATAAACTTGACCCACGTGCTACATCGAGTGGCCTTGACTCGATGGACCCCGCTGTCATTGTAGGGGCATGGTTCTGAAGAGGAATATCATCAAAAATGTCTTGCCGTTCTCTGGATGGAGGCTTAACTCTGTATAATTCAGGCAGTTCTCACCCTAAGGAAGACGAGGCGTCTATCCTAAACGACGAAGAGATTTGGCCAAACTTAGACAAGGCAGCGATTTTAGTACTCCAATTTAGACTTAGAATGTTACCTGTTCTCCAAGGCCATATCAAGCAAAGTTCAATTGCTAAAGTATTGAAAATACTTCTGCTACATAAGTACAAACTCGAAAAAAGAAATATTTACCAGTATTCTGTTCTCCTAAAGCCCATCCTAAACCAGGAGTGATTCAGCATATCCTGCGCACTTATTCGCTCCTGGTAGAAGGATATTTTTCTCAATAGATCGTGTAGCAAATGGGCTTCTAGCGCCGAGATCTTTGGCAATGATCGAGTGTTACCCTCAATGTCACAATTCCCTAGGAGGTAAACAAGCCATCCCACTCCCCCGCCTTCATGGAGATAGGTGCCGTTGATTTTGACTGCAGATGGCTTCCAGAGCCTGTCCTCGTAATGCTCTGGATATGGCCTTTTTGTATTGTCGTACATGGCGGTCAAATGATCTATGTCTTGGGGATCGTAATTGATGATGTGTGCAAGACCGTCGCTCAGCCCTGCCTGGCTTCTGAAACGCGATCCATCTTCATCTCGTACAATAAAGGGCCTCGCTGGTGCTGCCTTATTCTCATTGGGTTGGGTTGGGTTGTCCCAAATGTCTCTGATCCACTGCTTCAGCGAACAGACCTCATCAGAGAGTTCCCTTGGCCAACCTTTGGTCTTGTCTGATGTTGGACGGCCTTCCTTGTCATAATATGGCTCTCCCCAATATTTTGGCAGTTCTCCAAAGTACTTCACACACTCTGTAACAAGATGTGCTGGGCAGTCGACGTGACAGGGGAACAGTGAGATGCCGGACCTCATATTCAGGATTGTGACACCCAGAGCCCAAACATCACTTGCTAGGCTGACCATTTTTCCTACAGCTACCTCAGGCGACAGAAATTCAGGTAGAGTTTGGATTGTCTTCGATGACGAAATTTCGAATGCTTCATCAAAACCAATAAGGCTTAATTGGTTCGAAAGAATATCCTCGCCACTTGACATGAAATCGAGAAAGCCGACAACGTAACGAGGAGCTTCCGGGCCCATGATCCTACCAGACTCAGTCTTCAATACGTCGATTATGGGCTGACCAAACAGGCGATAGATTCCTTGGTCGTCGAGATGGTCCAGATTGTGCATTCGCAGGAGCAGATTTGCAGGTCTAATGTTCCCATGGCAGATACCTCGGTCATGTAAGTCCCGAAGAATTTCTGTTGCTTGATAGGCGAGTACTTGAACAAATTGCGGCTTCATTCTGCTCTTCATATAATTCGACAAAGAGTGAAGATTTGGACCACAGAAGGGAAGAACCAAACAAAGATGACGGCCGTTGGGACCATCAATGTGGAAGTACCTCGTGAAGGTAATGAATCGAGGATCTCCTGCATCTTGGTCGTGGTGGGCTAGAATGTTGCGGCACTTGGCTATGTTCTCCTCAATGCCCGACGGCTGGTCAGCCATCAGGATCCTAAGAGCCACCCAACTCCAAGTCGAAGAATCGCGCGCAAGCCATATCATAGAGGTATCTCCAGCGCCGATCTTGTGAACTATTCGATAACGACCATCATCATAGAGATCGCCGAGATGGACAGGATGGTACCCTCCCACTCCGTACATGGGGTATTCAGAGTTAATTTGTGGCGACTGGAAATCATCTGGGAAATCAGGATCTGTCCCGAGATCAAGATCGTTATCCGACAAGAGAGACATTTCTATAGCTTGGGGTACGGAAGAGAATAGAAATAAAGTTATTGAAGAAGAGTACTGCTTGTTTAGAGCCGGCTGAGGAAGGGATGAAGGTCTCTTATATAGAGCTGCACAAAAGTGAGAAGGTTTGCTGATGGCCACGTATATCTTATTCCTAAAAGCTTAATATTAATTTTTCAAGGGATGATCGCATGCGAAATCAAGATGTTTGTCATAATTGAGTTTTTGTATATAAAAGGGCCAGAACCTTGACCCTAAAGTGATGGCAATATTTAGGTAATTTGACCTAAGTTTAGGGGGCTCTTTACTAAATTTATTTTAGTATCATCTTTTTAAGTCTCAAGCACAGGCTTTAGCCATTCTCCAGTTTTAGACTTTGAGGTTTGACAAGAATCAAGCTTTCTGAATTGTCTGATTCCAACACTCAAAATGCGTTGATGTTGATGAGGGGTCCACGTGACCATGACTTTGACAATTGCCCATCTCCGCATTGGGTGGGGAAAAATCTCAGCCCCACCACGATTTTTCCATCTGAAGCTTCTTTTGGAGGGGCAAAGATCGATAACTCATTCCCATCCATGTCATTTTGACTGGCACACAATTTCAGCCTCTTATCCGTACATACAATCACCTCAACAATCCCTCGTCACACAAACCTATATCGTCAATAAATACCAGTCTTCTCAAAAGACCATAACCATCATCATGGCCACCGCCACCATGACCGTGACGGCTGCGCCGATCAAGAAGAAGCCCGACATGGCTCCCGAGAGCGAGCGCTTCCTACGATGTTGCGCCGACGTCGCGAATGCCCTCATCGAGGACCACGAAGCCAGCAAGGCTGGTCGAGCCACACGCGATATCAACCTCAACTCCCTGCGAAATAAGCTCGCCAAGAAGCACAAACTCCAGAACATCCCGCCTTTGACCGCCATCATCGCCTCCATTCCCGAACACTACAAGAAATACATCCTGCCAAAGCTCATCGCGAAGCCCATTCGAACTTCCTCTGGTATTGCTGTTGTCGCTGTCATGTGCAAGCCCCATCGATGTCCCCATATCGCTTATACCGGCAACATCTGCGTCTATTGTCCTGGAGGTCCCGATTCCGACTTTGAGTACAGCACACAGTCTTACACTGGCTACGAACCGACATCGATGCGAGCCATCCGTGCACGATACGACCCTTTCGAGCAGGCTCGAGGACGTGTTGATCAGCTCAAGTCTCTTGGTCACTCTGTGGACAAGGTTGAGTACATCATCATGGGCGGAACCTTCATGTCTCTTTCTGAGTCATACCGCGAGGAGTTTATTGCACAACTTCACAATGCTCTTAGTGGATACCAAACGACCAATGTTGATGAGGCCGTGGAGGCTGGCGAGATGAGCAACATCAAGTGTGTCGGAATCACGATTGAGACACGACCCGATTATTGTCTGCAGCCTCATCTTTCCGACATGTTGCGATATGGCTGCACACGACTTGAGGTCGGAGTGCAGTCACTGTACGAGGATGTCGCGCGAGACTCCAACCGAGGACACACAGTTGCCGCAGTCGCGGAGACGTTCTGCCTTGCGAAGGACGCTGGTTACAAGGTTGTCAGCCACATGATGCCTGATTTGCCAAACGTTGGAATGGAGCGCGACATCGACCAGTTCAGGGAGTACTTCGAGAATCCCGCTTTCCGTACCGACGGTCTCAAGATTTATCCTACCCTCGTCATTCGAGGTACAGGTCTGTACGAACTGTGGAGGACAGGCCGATACCAGAATTACACTCCCAACGGCTTGATTGACCTCATCGCGAGAATCATGGCTCTTATTCCTCCTTGGACCCGTATCTACCGTGTTCAGCGCGATATTCCCATGCCTCTGGTCACATCTGGAGTCGAGAATGGTAACCTGCGCGAACTGGCATTGGCTCGGATGAAGGACTTTGGAACAACCTGCCGAGATGTACGGACACGAGAGGTTGGAGTGAACGAGATCAAGAACAAGATCCGACCTAACCAGATTGAGTTGGTCCGACGAGATTACGTCGCCAACGGCGGTTGGGAGACTTTCCTGGCCTACGAGGATCCCAAGCAGGATATTCTCGTTGCTCTCCTTCGATTGCGAAAGTGTACTGAGAAGTACACCTACCGAGAGGAGCTTATAGGCCAGCCTACGAGTATGGTGCGAGAGCTTCACGTTTACGGCACAGCTGTGCCAGTTCACGCTCGCGATCCCCGCAAGTTCCAGCATCAGGGCTTCGGTACATTGCTCATGGAAGAGGCTGAGAGGATTGCGATTGAGGAGCACGGAAGCGACAAGATCAGTGTTATTTCTGGTGTTGGAGTAAGGAGCTACTATAAGAAGCTTGGCTTCTGGTTGGATGGCCCTTACATGAGCAAGTGGCTGGATGGTCGTGAGCAGCCTGAGTAGAGGCAAGCTCCAGGGTAATGAATAGCATGAAGAATGAGACTGGAAATACCTTACGGCAGGGGATATTGCATTTACAGACGGCGTATTTGGGTGGGAAATGAAAAGTTACGGCATTTTGACCATTTTGTGCTTCCATTACTGGTTGATTGCCCTCCCTACAGAACCGAGTATAGTAAGATAGATATAACTCATGAGAGGTTGTGAGTCCTTGCTCCAACTCAGGCTCACACGTAATCCATTCATGAATGAAGCATTTCGATCCAGTACAGTTGGTCTCTCAATCATCCCCTTGAATTGTAGTCAGCCTATGATGAGCCCTGTAGCTTCAGGTCACCTGCGCTGTTCATGAGGATGCCTCAGATCTCGGGACCTGCTGGCCAAGATCAATCGTCATCTGCAGCACCCGATTGGTCCACGTCGCTTAGTCACCAACTCATCAACTCCCAAAGCCGACGTCAACCTGCTTCTGCTCACAGGCTCCCTCCCCCGTCTCATCTTTCTCTCGCCATGACTCCCTCAACGCCATGAACAATCGTCGAAATGACGTCCCGGACTATGGAACCGGAATCCTCCCGGCGTTACCTCCCGACGTCAACGTTGTGCTTCCAGACCGTGATCCTAGAAGCAATGCCGCAACTGCCGCCTCAGCAGCTGGTGTTCGTGCCTTGAGCACTCAACTCATCGCTTTCTACTTTCGTGCTCCTGCCAAGGCTTTCTTTAGAACGCGTGTGGATTATCTGGCTTATGCGAGGACTATTCATCAGGCGCAGACGGAGCTTATGATGAAAGCTGCTGCGAATGACCCTTCTGCTTCTCGACTCAATGTGTTTATGCGACAGAGTTGGCTATTGCTGAGAAGCACGACACCTGGAGTTTTGACGTCGGCTATTAGACAACAAGGATGGGGTATTATACCGAATCAGATTTTACCGCCTCTTATTGCGAATGTTGGTGTTGGAGCGGTTCTGTACACGAGTTATCTCCAAATTCTAGGACGACTCCATGAAGAGAGTGGACAAGCGCGGAAGAGGGTGTATCCACCACCTCATCCGATGCATACCTTCACAGCTGGATTGCTTGCAGGCGCACTTCAGAGTGTTGTGGCTGCACCCTTAGACGCTATCCAAGCACGGTATGATCATCGGGATTTGATGCCAAACGATGGCAGCGGGAAACCCCGGAGTATGTGGGCTTTTAGCGCAGAGAAGCTTCGCGAAATTGGACTCAGGGGTATTTTTGCAGGATGGGGTCTATCACTCGCCAAAGACAGTCTTGGAAGCGCTATCTTCTTCAGCACATTCGAGTACGTCAAGGCTCAAGGCTACTATCGTTTCGTTACATGGTACTACGGCGGGCTGGCTGAGGATATTGTCGATGTGCTCGCCATGAAGCGTCCTACACATGAACACCAACAAGAAGACGGCATGAGGCTCATTCGACCTCATTATGCCCTTGAGCCCATGTTTCTTCTTCTCGGCGGTATCAGTGCTTCATTTACTCAGCAGATCTTACTACATCCTTTGACGCACTTTCAAGTCAAACACTGGGATCATCTTGAAGACCTCGACGAAAAAGCCGCCAAACTTCGTGCTTCCCGAGTCGCAAACCCCGAAAAGCCGCGTCGACGATGGAGGATGCTACGAGCCTACTACCACGCATACCAAGAATCGCTCGCTGTGTGTCGAGGGGAGGCAGCAGCTGAAGGACTGACCTTGACGAAATGGTTATATCGAGGATTCTGGTGGAATGCGATACGGCAAGTTCCTAGCACGAGTGCGGGGCTGATCATCTTTGAGTTGATACGGCGCAAGTATGGACTTGGACAGGAAGAAGTGAGAATTACAAAGGATGGATACGACATATTGCTTCACTAGAGGCTGGACTGGGGTGGTGTGATGGCGTTGGTGCATAGACTCTTCTCCTCATTGTTTTGGGCTTGTATAGAAAGATCAGAAAGTATATAGAAATGACGGACACCTCTCTACGTTGTTTATAGTGTCACATATTCTTTTCTGGGCCGTGATCCTTGAAGATTTTTGTATTTTACAACGCTGTATTTAGTCTACCTATACGCCAAGGTAAACATATCCCAACCATATGGCGGGAGTTAACAAAAACATTATATATCGTTAGCGCTTTTCAACTTCTTCTTCTTCCTCCTGCTAATAATGCCCAGTATTATAACGTGACCTGTGTTATTGCTCTATGTCGTATTCTTCTTCACCTGCCTCTCGACGGCTACCGAGACTTAGTACAGGAAAGGAATGTCAGTGCGGTTAAGAGCTTATGTCAACACACAAAACTTAAAGCTTCTTATCCTGTTGGCGATTTTCCTCTCCCTTTAGGCGTGAATAGTCGGCGCCAATTGAGAAGCCCTCAATTGACCCAGAGACAGGATACTTCTCAAACCATCCATCAAACCAAAACGGGGATGAGAAATCGTAAGTTGCCCAGAAAATCTTTGATTGGTGATCGACGGCGGCAAGCTGGAACAGTAGCTGCATGGAGCACCTCTCGCCGCTACTGGGAAGACAGAAAGCTGCACCCTGAATTCCAAGACGGCCAATCGTTGCCCATCTAAATAAGCCGCTGTACAGAAGCCCCATGCGATGGTGATCCTCGATTCCGTGGTCCAGCATAGTTCCTTTGAGCCGCTGTAACTCCACCATGCGTAAGAACCGCCCAATGTCAACCTCATCTGGGCGCTGTAAGAAGCATGGGAGAATACGGGCAGTATTCTTGTCTCCTGGGATTGGGATTCGGTTGGCACTCCAGCCAACATAAACAATACCCCTCCGCAATGCAAGCTCGTGGAGCCAAAATGCTCGCTGAACCCTAGCAAAGAATGCAGGGTCAATAGGGTTGCCATCAAGATCTGTGGGTTTCTTGCCCGGAGGGTTCTGGATGATGGCTTGGAACATCCGACGGCGGAGCATGTTGGCAAGAAAGCAAGCCACATCATCTGAGTAGTAAGCGCTGTACAAGCGATACATCCCATCCCAGTACAGTTCTGCTTGATTGACCGAAGCGAATACAGAGGCAAGCTGGTTGACATGATCCGCCAACTCAAGAAATTCGTGGAGTCTCTTCCAGTTGCTCACGACTTCGGTTAGGTACCCCCTAAGGTTCCAAGAATTAGTCCAGGTAATGGTGCGTCTCTATCGTAAGTTGTCATAGTCGTTTCCTGGAGGCATCGTCGTATTGAAAGGGAACCGGAAGAAATTAATGGTGGCCAAGGCCAGATCCATGTTGTCAGGATGTATATATTTAGTGAGGGTTTCGTGCAGGAGAAGTGTGCTTCCGTTCCCCATCTCAGACTTGATACGCTCCACGAGGTCATTGATATATTTCGAGCGTGGACTTTGCTCCCGAAAGCTCTTGATGAAGCTAAGGGGAGTTGTCAGAGACATCTTAGTTTGCTGAGAAAATGATTCGGGAATAGCGGCTGCCGATGCTTTCCTAGACGCTTTATATATAGCGAGAAGTGGATGATTAGACAATAACGCTGGTGTCAGGTCGCAGGTATTGCGATGAAGGCAAAAGATGATAAAAAAGATTGACTGATGGTCGACTGCGTGTTCTGCGGGTATGTATATATCCCAGCAATCTGTGAGAATGTTGCAAGCTCGGCACGGCGGACGACAGACAGACTTGGCTGAGGTTGTTAGTCTCGTGAACATGAAGACATGTCCTGTAGACTTAAGAGTTTCCCCCCAAAGCTCTTGAACCTTTGGCGAGCTCGACTGGACTTTCATGAGTGTTCTTGCCAGGTTGATGGGTTTGAGGGGGGTCTTTCGAGGCAGCTCCGACTTGTTGCTGAGTCGAGTTGCCAGTTTAATATATATGTGTGAGGTAGGTGCATCATGCCGACTGACGACAAAACCAAAACAATGGTTTAATTTCGGACCAATACTAGGTAGCAGTTATTTAATATATTCGTGCTCGTTGGAAGAGATCAAAGTGCCTGAGACGTTGACTGACCAGTTTTAAGTTCGTGGAAGATTTCACAGTAAATATGTGATCTGAGACCAAAGAGCCACGTGAATGAGATATGACATCATCTATATTGGGTGGACGTTAGGTTCAAACGCCATGTAAAGCCTCTGTAGTCAAGTGACAGTTATATGCCCTTATCTGCCTAGGTACATTAAAGGGGCGCAATGGTGATGCGGTCTGCGGCCATCCGCTTTCGAAAAGGGTGGCTTGTGAGAGACAAGCTCTGACTTACATCATAAGGTCTAGCCATGCCGTGCAAGACAAACAAATCATGCAGGTAGGCAGAAAGATAAGAAGGGCGACCAATAGCGTCATGATACTCACATAAAGTGCCAAAGTGGAAAGTAAGAAACCGCCCATGTCTCTCGTATTCAAAAGGCCACATCACAGAGGGAACAAAGACAAGAACATTGTGCATCAATTCCTACAATTCCACCTAAAATGCTTCCCCTATCTCCGCTTCCTGTGTACATTCCGCTAACATCCCCCCCACCGACCTGTCCCCCTGCCCCCAAGAGCCGTTGCAAGATCCTCAAAACTCCATGACGAAAAACCAAAATAACTACATCCAGATGTACGTATCGACGTATTTTCCTCGTGCGAGGATTTGGGTTTCGGGTCCCAGCCCTCCCGTCTGCGGATATCAACCGCGTGACCCGGGGCCAAAGTCCGGTTCACGATCAGGGAGGTGCTTCTTCTCCTTCCGGCCCTTGATCACAAACTCAGACATGATTTGGATGTGATCTGCGGGGAAGTGCCAGTAAGGGAAGGCGGGAATTCGCTTCAGGTATTCGGGGTCGGGGGGTCCAAGAAGGTCTACTACCTCCAGTGTATTCGTAGAGTACCAGATGTAATCAATCACATCGGCAAATCCAGGCGTATAGTTGGTGAATGGCATTTCATCGGCAGTGCCTTTGATGTGGGCGTAGGCGTCTCGGAGACTGAAGGGGTGTTCAATACCGTCTCGCGTGAAGCTGCCGTACTGGAAGCTGCTCAATTCTAAGTGGTCGGGTGGTACACGTCCCATAGACATCAGTTCATATACTGAAGAGTCTTCTGTGGAGTTGAAATCACCGCAGACCAGCAGAGGAAGCTCGGTATTGGTGCGATACTCTTGGCTGGGACCTGGTTCAGCTTGGGGTACAGGTACCTCGTCGTCTCCCATCGGTAACACAATCATCTTCTTGTCCTTAACAGCTGGCCACCTCGCGTACTTCTCTGCAAGCTTTGTAACATGCTCCATGAGAATACCAGTTTGGATAACCTTGACATCGGCCAAGGCAGAGTCCCACGTGAGATGGGCGTTGACCAGGATAATTCGAGCTCCGGTGAGACGAGACTCAAAGAAGCAAATGACAGCAATATTGTCCTTGGGCATTACACGGTTGAAGACGTCGTGCTGGTTCTTCATATCGGGGCGGTTGATGGCAATCGTGGCGAATTCGATAAGCTGCTTGTCAAGAAGAATGAACTTGCTCTGCTTGTAAAAGACGGCACAACCGTCAACAGACTGTGCATCCTTCTCCGACATGGTCTTGGCTCGGGACTTGGGCCAATGAACGCCCTTGTAATCCATCTGAGCAAGTTCCGGGCTGAGGTCCTCCTTGAAAGCATCCGTTGATACCTCCTGAAGAGCAAGGAAATCCGCATCCCTGATTCGGAGTTCTTCCAGGATACATCCTTTGCGATACTCCCAGTCGAGGGCACGGGTGGGCGTATAACCGTAAGTCTGGGGTGTCGCATACTTGTCGCAAAGAATGTTCCACGAGAAAACCTTGATCCTCTCCAGACTAGGTGACACGTCCTCTTGTATAACGATGGGCCTTCGGGGTGTGGGAGGAATGGGCACTGTAATTGTTAGCATAAATCGTTGCGAGGTGCGCCATCGACTTACTAGGAGTATTTTCCTTCAGGGTATGTATCAGACTCTTTGTACCCTCCTCCATGATTTTATGTTTCACATCCGCGTCCAATGGGTTGCCCTCGATACCGAGCATCTCCAGAAGGTGCAGTGATCCAAGTTCGTTCGGTAATATTTGGATGTTGTTATTGAAAAGTAACAGGTTCTTGAGATAAGTGCACATTCCGATCTCGGGGGGGATTTCGATTATCTGGTTGAAGGAGGCGTCAAGGTGGCGCAATGCTCGTAGTTCTCCAATTGCGTTCGGTAGTCGTGTCAGTTTGTTGGAGGCGATAAAGAGCTCGTTCAAAAATTTGTACTTGAAGAGCTCTGGAGCCAAGTTGCGCAACCCCTGCCCACTCATATCCAGATTGTGCCAGTCCTGCCGCGTTGCCTCCTTCTCAATAGCCAAGGGTCGTCTTCTATCAACACCATCGTCTTCATCGTCCGGGTGGGCGCGTAGGTTAGCTGATGGTGGGGGACCAATTCCTCTGTTTTCCGACGCTCTGAGCCTAGCATAGTAGTGCGGTTGTTGTTGATCGGTCATGGCAGAATGCGCTCGTTCAGCATCTTTGTGCATTCGCAGTTGCTCTTGCCACATCTCGTTCGGAGGTGGCTGTCCTCGGTTTCCTGCAGAATGGCCATTCTGAAGTGCATTCGGGTTGAAGGGACTCGAGTTAGAGAGCACGCCTGGGGCAAAGGTTGAGTGATGGCCTAAGCCATTGGCGTTAGGCATTCCATGGTCGTGCTGAAGTCCTTGGTGGTGTTGCGTTTGAGAAGGGTGTTGATGTTGGGTATGCTGATAGTTGTATAGCAAGTTTGGGATGCCTCGCCCGGCGCCGTTGAGCCGAGCATGTTGACCCTGCCCGGAGTGTTGAGGATACATTCCGGTAGGTATTTGTGATGTGATTATGATGGTTATAGTCTCAGGGGTGGAGGTCTAGGAAGTTGCGCCGGCGAGCAGCACGGCGGTAGATATCGCTGGTCGGTCGTGATGGGAGGAAGTGAATATAGCAAATCGCTGGAGAAGCTCATCGGCCGTCGTATATAGCGTCGACTTTTGACTTTGATAGGACTCGCGTAACAGCGGGCAGTAGTTGGTTGGCGACGGAGCTCGAAACTTCACCCAAGGTTCCAAAAGAGAGAAAGCAAAGATAGCTCGCGTTTACGCATCAGCCTACAGCTGTCACCGGAACAATTGTTGTTGCTTCTTGGCTCGGATGGAGAACGTCGGTTCGTCGGCAGGTCAATACCTTAGCTCATCGAGAGGTGTCGTTGCGACAGTCCCAGGAGATCTGTGGTGGCTTGATAGTGATGAAAGGTTAAATTTTTTGAGTCACGGTCGATTTTATCGAAGCGACAACGTTTTTCTTGTAGAAGCAGAAGTGCAGAGTGTATGTGAATCAAGAAATACTGCACATGTAATGATTAGTTAAAGCTTTGAAAGAAGGGCATCATGGGAGGGGATCCAAGCTTTAGCGACACGTTGCGCTGTGATTGCTAGCTTCTGCGGGGCCAACGGACCTGTAAAGAGCGATCGCAACAATGTAGATATTCACTGAAAAAAGTCAACTGATACTTGAACAGAAGAAAAGTGGCCGATGGCAGAGGGAGCGCATGGATATGACTGTGATGCTGGCCGTGATGCTGCGATGAACGGAATTGCAGCCCAGAAGCGGGCGTTTAATCACGTGCACCTGCTCCGCATTCTGATGGCTCGTGCGAGGAGAGTCAGAATCGACAATCACGTGCAGCCTCTCTATAATTGCGCGACTCGCCTAGAACGACGATTCAGCCTTGCAAGGTCCAGGCCGCATCTGGTCGACGATAGTTGCATGTTCTTGTGCCATGGTGAGACAGAACACGTTCGCGAAATATGCTTGCGTTTCTCATGTCCAACGCAAGTTTGTGTCCTTTTGGGCAGAATCCTCTATGAGCAGTCGTATGTTTGCAGCATCATGTGCACATACGGAGTTCATCAGGGGATTGAGACCTACCACAGATTGAGTTCACCCTCTATGATCACGATACAATTACTAG